TGACTCATCAGTTGTTCAGGAGGGTGTTGTTTAATTTCCATGTGTTTATGAAGTTCTTATGGTTTCTTTTGCCATGCATTTCCAATTTCATTGTACTATGGTTTGATAATATACATGGGATAATTTGAATTCTTTTGCATTTACTTAAGCGTGTGATCTAATATGTGGTTTATTGTGGAGAATGTCTTGTGTGTAGCTGAGAAGAATGTGTATTCTGATGTTGTGGGGTGGAATACCTAATAGATATTTGCTAAGTTGATATGTTCAAAAGTTTGGTTCAGTTCTAACATTTCATTGTTGATTTGTTGTCTAGTTGATCTGCCTGTTTGTGACAGTGGTATATTGAGATTCCCAATATAATTGTATTATTGCTCATTTAATTTTTCATGTCCATTAATATTTTATATAGTTGGCTGCACTGGTTTTTGTTGCATATATATATATATATATATATATATATATATATATATATATTGTCTTTTTCGTTTTTATCGGTACCAGGGATTGAACTCACGACTGCCTGCTTGCAAGGCAGGCGCTTGTGCCACTGAGCTAAATCCCCAGCCCCCTGTTGCATATATATTTAAGATTGTTATCTTTTCCTCTTGGATTGTTCCCTGTGGGGGACACTAAACCACATTCCCCTGAGAAAGGAAGAACTTGCCACCATTCTGTTTAGTCTTCATCTTTGCCCTGCTCACCTGTATGTGCAGAGCTGGTTGTATAGAGGTCAATGTTCCCTTAATTGTCTAAAAACAGAGTCCATCTGAGGCACTGACATGGCTCATTGCAGCAAACCAGCAGTGCATGGCCAGAGTCACTCCTCGCCATGGCTGGCATGAAGGCTTGAGCAAGGGCCTGTGAAATTCCAGGGATAAGACGTGAGATAACATCTCTGCTGAGGCCTTGAGACTGAAATGGAAAAATACCTTTCTAGCAGTGAAGATGCTGGTTCTCCAAACATCAAATTATTCATTAAACTACTCTCTAATTTGGGAACCTCTGTGCTTGGCACAAGAGTGCTTTGTTCCTCCTTTATAAGCCATGCCTATAGAAGCTATTATTCATGAGTACACAGTCATGAACTTTACCTTGTTGGTGTTGCAAACGATAAAAGCTGTGACCACTCTGACTCTCGACCCATTCATTGCTCCTTTGAGAATATCAGTCATCACTACAAACCTTTCCTTGTCTTTCTTCAGCCATGTGCCGCATTGCCTAGTGGAAGGCTGAACCCCTTCACAAGGATGTAGTGACTTTCTTTGTCACTCTTACCAATCTTGGCTTGAAATCTAACTTTGCCTGCCATTAGAACAGCTGCCCCTGCTTTTATACAGGTTCCTGTCCCATGGAGTCTTGTTTCTCATCCTTTGATTTTCAGTTTGTAAAGTTCTTTTTGAATTCAATGTGTTTCTGGTGTGCAGCATATTGTTGGATCTTGCTTTTGATTCATTCTGACAATCCGTTTCTTTTGACTCGTGAATTGAGACCATTAACACTGATGGCTATAACTGACATGTATTGACTTAAGCTTGCCATGTTATTTTCCTGTTGTTGGTGCCCCCCTTTCCCCCTCTGTTTAATTATTTGCCTTGCCTGGTAGATTCATTCTGTTAGGGTTCATGGAGTTGTAGTGCTTATTGTATCTTTCCAAAATTTCCTTCAGAATATGTTGGAATGCTGGTTAGGTATCCATGAATTTTCTCAGGTGTTCTTTATCATGGAAGTATCTTATTTCTTCATCAATTTTGAAAGATAGTTTTGTGGAGTACATCAATCTAGGTTGCAAGTGGTTTTCTTTTAGGGCTTGAACTACTTCAAGTGCTCCTTGAGAATTTGTGCTAAGTCAGCTCTAATTCTGATGGCTTTTCTTAATAGGTGATTTTTTTTCTCTAATAGCTTTTAATAGTCTGTTCTTGTATTGAATTTCAGAAATATCTTATCAACTATTATATGCCTTGCTATAGTTTTGTTTTGTTTTGTACCTGGAATCGAACTCAGACGCTTGCACTCCTTGGGCAGGTGCTGCATCATTGAGCTAAATCCCTGGCCCATGTAGATTTTTTTAAAAATGGCAATTCAAATTCTATACACCTCACTCATCTGTATGTCAAATTCTTTTCCCTGCCAGGGAAGTTTTCTGCCACGTGGTCTGTGAACAGGTTGTTTTTTTTTTTTTTTTTTTTTAAATATCATTTGGGCTATCTCCTATTTTTTCATTGACTCTGATCAATCATATTATTATTCTTTGCATTATCTGGCAGCTGCTGGATTGATTTCATGTGGTCCTTGGCTATTTTTTTAAGAAATCTTTCTTTTCATAATCGCTAACTGCAGTTCTGTCTTCTATATCTGAGGTTATGTCCTCACGTTGGTTTATTCTGCTGCAGATACTTTCAGTAGAACTTTTAATCTCCTGGATATCTGCTTGAATCTGTTTTATGGATTCCTTTCCTTTCCTGTATTGGGCATGCATGATTTCCATCATTTTCCTAAGTGCTTATATTTTTTTTAAAAAAATTTTGTCTTTTTGAGACAGTGTCTTTGCTCTGCAGTTCAAGATGGTCTTGAACTCACTTTTTAGCCCAGGCTGGTCTTAAACTCCTAACAATGCTCCTGACTTAGCTTCCTGAGTGCTGAGTTACAGGTGTGTGCCACCGTCCCTGTACCAGCTCTTCTATCTTTATCTATATCTGCTCTAGAGCCACTAAGAATGTTTTTCATTGCAGTCACCATCTCTGTATTTATCTGAAAATTATTTATTTTTTCTAGTGCCTTGTTTATTTGCTTTGCTGTTACCCCTTTTGAGAGGCCAAGTGGGTGGCTTTTGGATTCTCCTACTTTACTGCACTCTGGGTTTGCCTTTGGTGAACTGGCGATATCTGGGATTTACATTTTGTTTATGTGTTGTAGTGGATTGGTAATTGATGGTCAAGTTAAAACACCAGCTGAACTAAATTAGCATGAGGCTAGCACGAATGGCCCACCTGAGGGCTGTTGCCAGCATAAACAGGAAACCAGGAGAGAAGAGTAGTGTTGTGGGCTCTCCTAAGTGTGGTTATTTGGAGCCGTTGGTTCTCCTGGAGGAGCTTGTCCTGCTGGCTCCCCTGATATGAATTCAGCTATTGTTGCTGAGGATGGCTGTGGTTCACTTTGGGAACTTTGGACAAGTTAGTGATTTAGCAAGACCCAGTCAAGATAAAAAGTAAGAAAGGGCTGGGCATGTAGCTCAGTGTAAAAGCCCTAGGTTCACTCTCCAGTGTTTTTTTTTTTTTTTTGTACCAGGGATCGAACTCACCACTTCGCACTTGCCAGATAAGCACTTATGCCACTGAGCTAAATTCCTGGCTCACTCTCCAGTTTTGCAAATAAATAACTAAATATGAATAAGTTAATGGATAATAATAATGTTCAATAACTAAATGGGATTAATTTTGTGAGTTTGATCCAGTTCAAGTCACCCAGGCTTTTTGTTTTGTTCTGAGATAATACCTCACTATAGTCCAGGCTGGCCTTGAATTCACTATGTAGCATAGGCTGGCTTCAACTTGAAGAGCCCCTTCTGCTTCAACCTCCCAAGTGCTGGGGTTACAGTATGTGCCACTACTCCTAGCCCCTTTATTCAATTTTGAACCTTCTGGTTTAACATGAAAATATGATCTTAATGGGGCTGGGAATTTAGCTCAGTGGCATAAGGGCCTGCCTGGCAAGCTCAAAGTTGAGTTAGATCCCCAGTACAAAAAAAAAAAAAAAAAAAAAAAAGATGGTCTTAAGATAATAGTGTTGGTCAGGCTTGGTGGTGCACACCTGTCATCCCAGCACTCAGAAGGCGGAGGCAGGAGAATCAACAAGAGTTAGAGGCCAGCCTGGGCTACACAGTGAGTTCAAAGCTAGTTTGGACTACGTAGTGAGACCCTGCCTCAAAAAAAAGGAAAACAGTATTACTTTTAAAGTGCAGTTAATTCTTACCCAGGGACCTGGGGTTGAAAGGAGTGCTCTTAATTCCTCATGATGAGAAACCCTGAGGACCCTATTTCAGTACTTACTTGAGTTTTAGGTGATATTTCAGCACACGTGTTGCAGCATGCTCTGAACGAATCCAGCCCACCTTGATCTACTCTCCTCACCCTCCCAAGCCACTAGTAGTCACTCCTGTACTGTCAGGTTGACTTTTTAGTTTTTATCCTTTACACATGAGAATATGAATACATGGTATGGGTTTATTTCCCTTAACGTGATGGTCTCTGTTTCCACCCAATTTGCCATAACTAACCCGATCTCATCCTTCATCTGGCTGAGTAGTATTCCACTGTATACACAACCCACATTTTCTTTTCTTTTCTTTTTTTTTTTTTTGGTGGGGGGTAATGGGAAACGAACTCAAGACCTCAGAGGTGCTGCACCACTGAGCTAAATCCCCAGTCCAAACCACATTTTCTTTACCCTTTGTCAGTTGGCAGGTTAGGTTCAGGCTTTGCTAGCACACCATCCACAGCACACGTGCTGGAGTCCTGTTCCTTCCTAATTAGGGCCCAGATATTGGCAATTGACCTGCAGGACTGAAAATTCAACCTTTTCTGGAGCTCTGCACTTTTATAAGTAAATTCAAGTGCAGATTCAAAGCAGAAGTAGGACTTGGAGTGTGTGAATCAAATGCCATTTTTACCCAATAAGCATTTAAGACGTTTTTTCAAATCATCTAACATTGGAGTTAGGAAGGACTTAGAGACAATTCTACTCCAGTCCTCACTTGGTACGGATAAAAAGCTTGGACAGAGCTTGCACTGAGCAGGGTTTTTGACTCCCAGAATTGTTCTTCCAGCTATAATTTTTGATGTTAACTTTATAACTTGCTGAAAATCTCCCTTTCTCTCTGCTTAGAGTCCAAAGAATGATAATTTGGCAATAACATAATCACATCTTTATCATTATCACAGATACAGGAGAGGGAAGGTCCATGAAACAGTGATCACTTTCACAAAAAAAGTTATCTAGACAGATGCATTCTCTATTGTTTTATGTAGTAACAGAAAGATAAACACCATTGAATGATTTTGACCTTAATTGTTAAGTCTGAATGATGGATATGGGGGCCTCTAGAAGTTAATTATGTTATCTTGTATACAATTTTAGATGTTTGAATTTTTCTTTACATTAACATTTTTTATTTTTATTTTAAAGAGGGTAAAATTAAACACAACAAAACATAACAAACTAGGACATAAGAAAGCAATGTAAGAGATATAAATTTCAAAGCTAGACGATCTGAGATTTTCACTACCTATCATTTTGTCTCGTTTTCTTCCAAATAGCTGTCTATGTCTTCACATACAGAGAATTCATACAAAACAACATAGTATAAAACTGATCCGTACAGAATGAGGAAAGCATTTTAGGTCTTCAAAACCAGACAATAGGGAAGTCACCAATGGCTGTTATAGAGTCTCTTGTTCTTTTCAAAACCTCTGTCCATACCCTCATGTATATTGAAGTTCAACAAAACAAAACAGGCAGGGGGGAGGGTTGCTTGGTTTCCTGGCACTCCAGGTCCCAGCATGGCATGGGTCCCAGTAAACACCTTTGGCTCCCGTCCTGAGCCACCGCAGCCTGTCACACTCACAGCTGCTCACCAGGGGAGGAAGGGTTGCTTCAAGCTCTTTCTTTCTAATGAATTGACCATTTTACTGCCCAAGTTCTGAAATGGCCAACAGACCATAGAAAAACATCTCTTTAGGCTGTTTGAATTTTTCATGATAAAAAGTTTTAAAGCTTATTTGTTTTACTGTGAACATATATGTCCCATAGCCTACAAATTTTTCATATAAATGTATTTAACAGTCATTTATTTAGCATCCACCCTAGCAGCTACTCTAACCATTGCACCAAATTCTAAGTGACAAAGAATCAAACATGAAGCAAGACATGTCAGTTAATCTGTTAATCTGCAACAAAGAAACAAAACAAAACAAAAATTTCTGACATTTGTGTCCCTAATTAATTTGAGTTTAGTGGTCTTTCACTATAATTAGGCTGGGCAATATAGCCCAGGTTTGTGTTGTAGCTAATGACACTACCAAGACTTTTCTGCTTTCCACTCCTGTCTCTTAGAGTGTCTGTTTTCATTTTATATTTGTACTTCATGGTCACGAAATGGTTGCTACACCATCACATGTCACACTTGCATTGTAGGCTGTAAGGAGGAGGAAGAACAGAAACCAGTGTGCCTTGTCTTTTATATGTATTTTCTATTATTATAAATGTCTCCCCTTTAAACTTCTAAGACAAATGTTTTCCCAGAACCACCACCCAATCCTTCCAAAAAGGCTTTCTCTGAAACCACATTGACAGACAGCATTCAGTCAGATGACTATGCCCAAACTCTGGGAAATTATTATTTATATCCCAGTTTCTATAAAATGAGCAGCACAGGGCAGAAGACGACAGTGAGAGGTTGTCAACCCAGCTGAAATGCTTGAGTTGTTTTCTTTCCAACAAGACACAAGTCTCAGAGCAACAGCAGTAGCTACAGTAACAGCAGTTGGGGTGGCTCCCCAAGCCCCAGTTCCTGCTGGCCAATGTAAAGAGGGCCACGCCAGGAACACAGTGGATTGGTTTACTGCAAAGGAGCCCTTGGTTTGGGGAACCCAGTCTGCTTAGTGGGCAGTGAGTCTGCCTAGTGGTGCAGCATCTTCAGGCCCCAGACAGGAAGCAGCCCTACCCTTTGCTCTGAAAGGAGTCACAGTTGCTATGTTCCCTGACTATCCGGGAACAGACCCGCCTCCTCGGAGGGACAGCTCCACACAGGGGCAGGCAGCACTCTGCTCACAAGATGTGCAGAAATGCAAGGCACCAGCAGGGCTTTCTCTTGGCATAGCCCACAGGTCCAGGGCCCCCTGTGCCTCCTCCCTCGTGGCCCATATCCTGCCGCTGTGCCTGTCCACCCCAAGGCTCTGTCTCCACAATGGCTGCAGAGTCTCTCCCAGCAAAACTGACCTCCTGACCTCCCTCTCCAGAGCACACCCCCTTCCCACCACTCCCTGCACCATCCCATCATCCAGTTGACTCTCTAATTCCAGTCCGCTGTTGCCCACTGACTTCCTCCAACCCAGCTTGCACAGGTTGGCCGGGGGACTGGTTCTCCCCTGCACCCTTCCCTGTTTCTTCATATTCCTCTCAGCCTTGCCCCTCACTCAGCTTTGCTTCAGAACTTTCTTCAGAATGATCTTTTACGGTTTGAATGTTTCTCTCTCCAAAATTCACCATTATTGCTGTAGTAAAAAGTGTGGCCTCTGCGAGGTGGCCAGGCTACCAGGAGTCTCTGTACAACAGGATGGATCGGGACCCTTGTGGTGTCTGGGAAACTCCACAGCGGGGACCCTTGTGCGGGAGGAGTGATGAGATCAGGCCCTGTGGTCTGGGCTGTTAAGTGTGACCTGGGGGGCTCAGAAATGCTCTGACAAGAAGGGAGAATGAGTTTAAATCTCTGACTGTTGTGGTTCTGATGGCTCCAGTCTGCACTGAGAAACCTGGGAAAACGGAGGCCAGCCCAGGGCTGACACTGACCCAAACTGTCCCCAGGGACAGGAAGAGGCTTCCTTGACAAACCTACAATGCTGGACATGGTGCAGGCAGGGAGATCCGTGTCCAAACCCCGTGAGTGCACTCCATTATCAACTCCCATGCTGGAGGGAGGTGCTGCACATCAGGGACTTAAACTCCTCAGTGCAGCCTGCAGCCTTGTCCTTGGCCCTGTTGTGGCTCTTCTCAGGTAGAGAGATCCCAGCCACACAGGAGGCAGCCCTCCTGAGGGACCTGCAGGGTTCCTGGAAGCAGAGCGCTAGTTCCCACTTGCCCATCTTTCCTTACACCTGTGCACCCTAGTTCAGGGCTTGCAAGCATCCCAGGAATCCTCTTCCCAGGCAGACTCCAAGCTCAGGCAGAGCATCCCAGCCCCAGGGCCCAGCCTGGACCCTCCCCACCCAGTGTTGAAGGTGCTTCCTGTCTTTTCCCTCAAAGTTAAGCCTTTATGGGAGCCCCTATTCCTGGGGGGAGAGATTCGCTCATGGCTTCCCACTTGCGCCCTGCGTCTCCTCCTTGGGCCCACCAGCCGCAGTGTCCCAGCACTTTCCAGAGAGCCCCTGGGCCGCAGCAAAGCCAGCCACTGGCAGCACTCCCCCTTACCCTGACTTTATTCCAGTGGGAGATTCCCCTGGAGAGATGCTAAGTCTCTGCAGAGATTGAGAGAGGAGAGGGAAGGAAGGGAAAGGAAAAGGAAATTAAGATTTTTATGGATGCGCATCACTTCCCCACAAAGAATGTAAGCATTGTGACTGTTACACACATGTACTAATAACTAAAAGTTAAAAAATCTATGCCCAGGGAGGTTCGCCTCAGTACTGTTTGTAAGAGCAACCTAGGTGCCCATCAGTGGGGACAGTGTTCTCGTATGCAGTCCAGCCGTCCTGCACAGCCCCAGTAACACGCAGCTGTGCGCATCTTTATATACTGGAAGTCTTTGAAACCGACTGGAGGACAGAGGCCAACTGTGGAGTTTCGACCACTTGTTATGTCACGTTTATATTATGTTTTGCAAGTAGATGAATAAATACCAAGCAGTGAGCCAGAATCTGGGCAGTCACCCACGCTGTGACTGACAGGAATGGCACCCAGCACAGGACCTGCTCAATAACGGTGCCAGATTGTGAGACTTACAGACATTGTACAAATCGGTCCTGAAAATCAAAAAATTTTATAGTGGGCTCGGGAGTACTTGGCAGAACTCCTGTGAGCCACATCAGGTTAAACAAAGGCTTTCGTGTTTGTTAACTGAAAATGTCACTCCTGGATTGATTTATGTTGCACGGTGTGCTGTGGGAGCAGGAAGAGGGCTGCACCTATGTCATGGCATTCTGGACATTGGAAAGCCTGATTAGAGAGCATAAAACATCCTGTGATGAAAATGCCACCACCACCCCTGACCTAGCCAGACCTCCTTCTGTGATGTCCAGGAAGCTACCTGGGAGCACTAGCCAGTGTCTTAGTTGGTTTCCTGTTGCTATGATAAAATGCCCGAGGCTGAGTACTTCAAAAAGAAAAGGTTATTAAGCTTATGGATCTGGAGGCAAGGAAGTTCAGGGTCAGGTGGCCTCATCTGATGAGTGCTTCATGCTGTGCAGAACATGGCAGACCAAGTCACATAGCAGGAGCACACGTGAGGACAGCAAACAGCACATTCAGAAGAAACCAAACATGTGGATGACCCAACATTACAACAGTCTGCTCTTAGGTAACCAACCCAGTCTCCTGATACCTCATCCACTCTCAAGGGACAGGCATTAATTCCTTGCCCCATGGCTTAATCACCTTCCATCTTCACCTTCAGAGGTTCCTTCACCTCTTGGTAGTATTGCAGTGGGGACCAACCTTCCAGCACATGAACTGTTAGGGGACAAACCATATCCACATCATAGCAGCCACAGTGCATTGGCATCATCCACAGAGGAGCCTCCTGTGACTTCACCGTCATTAGGCAAACCTGTCCTCAGGGAGTGCTGGTGCCATCCCCCTGGGGGCCCCCTTACAGGACAGACGCAAGCCCATACTGTGTTCCAAACATGTGACAGAATGACACCAGGACATAGGCTTAGAAAGAGCTGAGCTGCTTCTACAATTCACACGCACACTAGCTTTCCAAAGGAATCTAGATTTACTCTGCGTGAAAACCCAAAGTGTTCATCCCCCAAGGGTGCTGTGGTGCTGAGGTGGCTGGTGCTGGGAGCCGGGCCTAGGGGTGGTCCCTGCCCAGGTGTGATCGGCCCACTCAGCTGATGAGGGGCCCCAGAAAAAGGTCTCTGCAGAGCCCTGCAACCTGCAGGACAGGTGGCTAATGCTCAGGTCACTTTAAGGGCCCAGTGGCTGTCAGTCCTCCTTGTACTCCTCTGACGACAGTGAAGCGTCCAGTAGTGAGTCCCCTGCCTGTCTCCGGCAGAACACACACTTGGTGAGTATCTCAGAAGAGCTGTTGCTTTCGAAGATGGAGAAAGGCCTGCTGCATCTTTCACACTGCCATGAAATGCATGAGATGCTGGTCAGAGGACATGAAGGAGGAAGGTGAAGTTCCTCACCCAGCTGCCCCGGCTGGGCCAAGGCAAGGCTTCTTCTCTGGAGTCTCCGATCCCACAGAGTGGCCACGGCACGCCACTGGGTGAAGACGGGCTCTGCTCCCCCTTCCCCTCCAAAGCTAAGCAGGCATGGAGGGCAGCCCTTGGTTGTGGAGAAAACAGGGGCAAATGTCCAACCCTGTCCACTGCTCTGTGGAGAGCAGAATTGTAGGGGGACATTCTAACACCTTGACATGTTGGGGACACCTGACTTTTATGGAACCGTGAGAAGCAGGCAGGCTGAACAAAACGAACAGGGGTTTCTACTTGGCTAATGCAAGCGCTCAGCAACCCCACCCCCAATCTTGGGCCTGCCTCTGGCCACAGCCCACAGAAGCTCACCCATCTCACCTGCTGGCCACTCGCCCTAGAGAAATATGAGTTCCTGAGCCTCCTGCACGGAACGGGGCCCAGGGATCCGGCCAAGGGGTCTGCAGCTGGAGTACAGGAGCTCACGCAGTATCCAGCTGTGCGTCTGGCCATTTCTGCACTGGACACACAGCACTGCCTTGTCTCCTCCACACCTCCACATTTGCTCCATGCTGAACCACACCAGCTAGGCTTGCTGCCTCAGGAGCAGGCTGATTCCACGGCGGGGAAGTTCTTCCCCGGAACATCACCTGGCTCACCCCCGCCACCTTCCAGGCTGTGCAAGGTCACCTGGCTACCCTTTAAAATACTGCAAGCCCACCGCTCCCATTGGCCTTCCTGCGTCATTCTTCACTGTGGAGCTTACTACATATCTTCTTTGTACCTTTCCACCTTGTTTGTCTCTTCTTTCAAAATGTAAAGCTCCTACAGGGCAAGGGTTATACTCTGATGGCTGCATCCCCACTTGTCCAGTAAATGTTTGTTCAAAGAATAAATTTATTTGTTGCAAACGAATGAAAGTTTTCACTGGGCTTAATTTTACCTGGTACCAACCTGTTTCATCGTTAAGCCCATGGTCTTTTTGTACTTGATTACCAAAGGAATTTGGTCAATGTCTTCAATATTCCATAGTCTCATGGTCCGATCCTAAAACAAGGTAAACAGTAAACCACTGATCAGGAAAAAGTTCGTGACACATTGATACATTGGCATATTGTTGAGTGCCCCAAGGAAATGAGCTGTCACACACAAAAAAGACATGGAAGAAACTTACATGCATGGTAGGCAAAAGAAGTCAATCTGAAAAGGATATAACTCCAACTCTGAGATATTCTAGAAAGGGAAAAACTAGAGAGACAGTAAATAGGTCAGTGGTTGTCAAGGTTCTGGGGAAGAGGAGGAAGAACAAATAGATACAGCATGTAGTATTTTTAGGGGGTAAAATTACAGTGGTACCTCAGTTCATGAACTTGACTCAAATTCCACAATCAGAATCATGGAAAAAATTAAACTGGTGAACCGAGGCACTTCTGTATTCTGTAGGCTGCTAAAATGGCAGAGACATGGCATGGATTTGGCAAAATTCAGAATGTCCAAAACAAAGAGTGAAACAATGTGACCCACGGCGTTTAGTTAATAAAAATTCCATAAAGGAGTCTTCTGGACAACTTGATTTTAGCACTGTGAGCCTTTGCTGTGAGACTTATTTCCTCTGGAATTGTGGGATATTAAGTTTGTGTTGTTTACTGTTTAAACATGAAGTCCATGGTAATTTATTATGGAGAGAATATAAAAACTACTACACTGAAATTAGAACAAAATGAAAATGAAAGAATAAAGAACTGGCAACTAAAACGAACAGACATTTCTCAGAAGAAGTACAAATAGTCAGGAAATACATGAAAAAAAGGTTCAACATCTGGGGCTACCAGAGAAATGCAGGTTAAAACAACACTGAGATATCATCTTACTCTAAAAAGAATTGCTACAATCAAGTAATCGAATAATAAAAGCCAGGGGTGGTAAAGCACATTTGTAATCCCAGCATTTGGGAGGCTGAGGCAGGAGGATCACCATGAGTTCTAGGCCAGCCTGGGCTACATGGGGAGTTCGAGACCAGCCTGCACCACATAGTGAGAACTTGTCTCAAAACAACAACATCCTAACTTTGTCTAGAAATCATGTGTGCACGATAGGAACAGACCTGAAGTCAAAGCGGATGTTACATTTGACAGTATTCCATTTTACCACTGTATAAAAAAAAAGAAGAATGTTTTACAGGCTATAAGAACTTCAGAAAAATATTACTGGAAAAAGAAATGGAAAAGTAAAAATAGTTTACTATATTAGGTCAGAAAGAAACTCATCACTGTTGGGAGGTTTTCTATGATGGCAAAATGTACATGACACATCGGGTGTGGTGGTCCATGCTTGTAATCCCAGCACTTGACAGACTGAGGCAGGAGGATTTCCATGAATTCCAGGCCAGCCTGAGCTACATAGTGAGACCTTGTCTCAAAAAAAAATTAAAAATGTACATGAGATACTTATTATTTTAACCACACACAAGTGCACAATTTAGTGACATTAAGTACACTCACAATATCCTGTCATCATTACCACTATCTGTAGTCAACACTGTTTTAATCCTCAACAAAGTCTATTAGCAGTTCAATAACTCTCACCCCTGCTGCAGCCCTAGGCAGTCAGTCTCTGTGGATGTGGAATCCAGATACCGTGGAGAAGTGGAATCTCAGAGCATTTATCCCTACGACCAGCTTAGTTCACTTAGCGTAACGTCCTCGGGGTCATCCAGGCTATAGCGTGTGTCAGAGTGATGAATCTTCCATTGCATGTTCACATCACATTTTAGTCACCCATCTTTAATGAGTGTTTACTTGGGTTGCTTCTGCCCATTGGTTATGGTGGATCACACTGTTATGAATGTGGGTATGTAGGTATCTATTTTTGGTTCTTTTGGGTCGGTACCTTGCAGTAGAATTGCTGAGTTATAGAGTGTTTCTAACCTTTTGAGAAACTGCAAGCTGTTTTCCACAGTAGTTGTGCTATGTTACATTACAATCCGCAGTGCACAAAGGCACTATATTCATTTATTTATTTATTTATTTATTTATTTATTTATTTTTGTCTTTTTCTATCGGTACCGGGGATTGAACTCACAACCACACACTTGGAAGGCAGGCGCTTATGCCGCTGAGCTAAATCCCCAGCCCTCCTGGCTGTTGTAAAAAATATTTTTGTTCCATGTTTGGTTGAATCCACAGATGTGCAACCCAGTGACATGCAGGGCCGTGGATAGATAAGATAAAGGTTCAATTTCATTTTTTTTTGCATGTGCTTATCTAGTTTTTATGGCATCATTTGATGAAAATATTGCCCTTTCCCTGATGACTGATCTTTGACCCTTGTCAAAAATCAAGTGATCACACACATTAGGGTTTATTTGTGGGTTTGCTATTCTACTGCGTTAATCTAAATGGCTGTCACTACGTCAATATAATACAGGTAAGAGTTGAAGACAGGAAGTACAAGTCCTCCAAATTTTTTCTCTTCTCCTACTCCACCAACCAGGTACAAGGATTGAACCCAAGACCTTTGCAATAACTTACACCCCCAATTCTTTTATTTTTTCCTTTTTATTGGTACTGGGGATCGAACTCACAACTGCCTGCTTGCAAGGCAGGAGCTTATGCTAAATCCCCAGCCCCTTTATTTTTAATTTGAGGGCCTCACTAAGTTGCCCAGGCTGGGCTTGAATGTGCAACCCTCCTGCCTCAGCCTCACAGAGTGCTGGGAGTATAGATGTATACCACTGCAGGTGGCTTCTTCCTTTTCTTCTCCTTGAAGATTGTTTTGGGTGTTCAGGAACCCTCTGAATTATTTATGAACTTGAGAGTTGGCTTTGCTGTTTCTGTGAAAAAGGTTGTTGGAATTTGAGTAGGAATTGCATTGGGTCTGTGCGCCACTTTGAATAGTACTAACCTCTTAAAAATGTTAAGTTTTCCTATCTGTGAACATGGGATGTCTGTCCACTTATTTGAGTCTTCCTTAATTTCTGTCAGTTTTCTGAGATGTTTAAAAATCATGAATGAGTTTTGGATTTTTTGAGATACTTTTTCTGTGCCAGCTGAGATGATCATCTGGGTTTCCCCTTTTGCTCTGCTAATGTTATTACACTGACAGCTTTTTATGTTGAACTACTCTTGTATTTCTGAGTTTCACTTAGTCACTGTAAGCAATCATTGTACTATACTATTGAATTTTATTTTCTAACATTTTTTGATGATATTTGCATCTCTATTGATAAAGAATATTGGTCTCGGGGCTGGGGATTTAGCTCAGCGGCATAAGCACCTGCCTTGCAAGCAGGCAGTCGTGAGTTTGATCCCCGGTACCGATAAAAATGAAAAAGACAAAAAAAAAAAAAAAAAAAAGAATATTGGTCTGTAACTTTCTTTTCCTGTGATGTTTTGTTTGGGATAATATCAGGGTAATGCTGGCTTCATAGGATGTGGCTTATATAAATAGCTGCTCAATTAGTTCTATTAAATTTATGTTCTTTTTTTTTCAAAAGTCTTACATTTATCTGTCTTAAAAATATACAGTAATACAATCTACAGTTATTCTCAAGAGCAAATAATGAACTCAAAAAAATCAGTCCTTCCAGACACAAAAACCCAATCCAAAATGGGTACCTGAAATGAATACACACTTTTCAGATGAAGAAATACAAACAGCAAATAAACATATGAAAAAATGTTCACCATCACTGGTCATTCGAAAGATGCAAATTAAAGCAACACTGAGATTCCACCTCGCCCCAGAAAGAATGGCTGCTTATCAAGAAATCAACAAATGCTGGAGCAGCTGTGGGGAAAAAGGAACCCTTCTCCACTGCTGGCAGGAGTGCAGACTGGTGCTGCCACTGTGAAAACAGTGTGGAGATTCCTCAAAAACTGGAACAGGAGGTCCCAGTGACCCAGATACTCCTTTTCTGAGTAGCTTCCCAAAAGAATTAAACACATTATACCACAGTGACTTCTGTGTACTCACGTTCATAGCTGCACAATTTGTAATAGTTAGATCTTAGAAACAACCTAAATGCCTATCAACTGAAGACTTGATAAAAAAATGTCTATTTTTATACAATAGGGTACTCGCCATAAAGAAGGACAAATGAGACTTTTATAGGTAAATAGATGCAACTTGAGACCACACTCATAAGTGAAATAAATCAGACTTGCATGTATAAACTTCATATTGCCTCACTAGCGTGGAAATAGTTATACTATAGTTAAGATATATTGCTGATTTCTCTGAGTTTATTGAAGAGAAAGTTCTGTGCCGATATTTCTTGGACAATTGAATGCAGATGTCTTGCATTCCTAGTGAATGATTTAAGGATGGCAATGTACAATGTATGTACCATTGTTGTCCTCTAATTGTTGTGTTTTGGTTAAATTTTTTTTTGGTAGTGGGGATTGAACTCACGAACTTATGTTTGCCAGGCAGGTACTTGTGCCGCTGAGCTAAATCCCTGGCCTATGATTTTTGTGTTTTGAAATTTTGTTTTATTTTTTTCTCTTTGAAATACAATGAATTTGAAAAAATGCAAAAAATACAGCCTACGCATTTTTTGGTAATTTTCTTATCTTGTGATATCTTTATCTGACTTTGGTATCAAAGTAATCCTGGTTCCATAGAATGAGGTCATTTTCTTATTAATGTAAATAGTGTCTGTTTAATTAGTTCTTTTGCATTGATATTCTTTTAAAAATAATAGATCTGTGTATCTCAAGAATATATAATAATATATTTTATAAAACTTAAATATTTAATAAAGGCTTTAAAAGTCAAAATAAATTGCCATATAAGACAGGAAGAAGTACAAAATATTTTTATATTTTCTTAGATATTTGTTTAGATCATCTTATCATTAATTACTATGTGCCACTTTTAACTAACCTTCTTAATGTTTTGTGTAAGTAATAGTATCCATGTAACAGGAAAGTAAAAAATACAGAATAACTGCTAACTGATGTGTTTTGAACTTTTGTTGTAGCTTTTTTTCCTACTTCTTCTTTCTTTTCTTTCTTTTTATCCTTGAAATAAAATGGATTTGGAAAAACAAACAACCAAAAAAAGAAATGATAGGCCCAGCCACATGTATGAGGCTTGGGGTAGAAGTACAAAAGCAAAAACAAAACAAAAAAACCTAGAATAATATATAATTTCAAGTAAGGACTCACTTTTTTCCTATTTATAGTAGTACAGCAAACATGTATGGCCCGTACTTTTTCTTACCTATTGTATTACTATGTGTTTTAGTCTGAGACATCTGTACCCCAGGCCGGCCCTCTGAAGGCTTGGTGATGTTAGACCGAGTCCCGCCCATTGTCTTGGAGGCCTAGAAGCCTCCGCATAGAGAATGAAATGTTTTGATGAAGGCTGGTGGTGAAGTGAGACCCCGATTCTCAGATGTTCCTGCTTGAAGAACAATAGCCCTTAGGGTATTCACGGTGAGCCATCGTGTGCCACCAAAGTGGCATCCCAAGGTACAATGGTGTGGAGGGGAGGGAAAGCCCTCCTGGGCCACCGCGGGTCTCTGCTGCTCCTCCATGTTCGGTACCTGCCCTCCTAGCTCCTTGTCAGCTCCACTACCCCTGTCCGAACAGCCTCTTACTCCAAGAAAGCTCAAATGCAGAAATACCTGCCAACTCCCATCCCCCCTGATAGAAAGACTCGCTTTCCACGTTCCCAGGCAGCTCCCAGGCAGCTCCCAGGCATCACGCCAAGTCTGGCCAGCAACTTCATACTTGGGAGTAACACTCCAGTGATGGCCAATTCTGACAGATGTGATAGACACTTTAAGTCACTCAAAACTAGGGCACGTTTACCTTGGAAGCAGACAGAATCCATTTCTTGTCATTACTAATGGCAACATCCATCACCCAGTCCTTATGGCCCTGAAGAAAAATAAAAATCTAACAAGAATCTCTATAGAGAAAGTATCTTTATAGAAACAACAGGAACAAAGTTAGAACCCAATGTTGCTTCCATTTAAGAGCAGTAACTATATTTCCTGTTTCCTCAACATATAAGGTAGAATACATACTATAAACATAGGTGAATACATACTATAAACATAGGTGCTATATAAGTATATTTTGGTACTGTGTCTGCTTTTATTTATTTATTTATTTATCTATTTGGTACCGGGGATGGAACTCATGACCTTGCACTTGCCAGGCAGGTGCTTATGCCACTGAGCTAAATCCCCAGCCTCTTGAATGTGTGTGTGTGTGTGTGTGTGTGTGTGTGTGTGTGTGTGTGTGTGTGTGTTTTAAATAAAAAAGCAGTTCTATGCACCTGTAATCCCAGAACTCGAGAGATTGAGGCAGGAGGGTTGTTGCAAGTTTGAAACCAGCCTGGACTACAAACTGAGCTCCAGAGCAGCCTGAACTGCATAGCAAGATCCTGTCTCAAAAAGACAAAACAAAACAAAACAAAAACCCCATGGCTGGAGATTTAGCTCAGCAGCATAAGCACCTGCCTCGCAAGTACAGGGTCACAAGTTTGATCATCGGCACCAAAACAAAAACCCCAGTTCTGTGGTTCTTCAGAAGGACAGAAGGAAATAAAGGGCTATATCTCATTCTTCGTTCTGGGAAATACCACCCAGAGGTCCTAGCAGTGCAAGGGCTTTTGGCTTCACATTAACTGCAAACCTCTGCGACCCACAGTGTGTGAGCAAATGATGGGGGTGGGGAGCTGGCATTGCTGTGATGTCTGCTGCATGTGACAAAAAGAAATTGGAGGGTGGAGGAATAGAGACAGAGCGGAGGAAAGGAGGAAACTAGAACAGCCTGATAGGGGACAAAGGGATTTTTAAGCACTGGAAGGTTTAACATTTAAAGCCACCTATTTGCTGGGATGTAAATTTTCATTGCATCCCCAAGCCCTCACTGGAGACAGACTGGCCCCACGGCCTGGACGTGTACTGTTTAAGGTGGCACAGTCTACGGTCAGGTCCCTGGGAACATGAAGATCAAGAATCATGGGTGCAAGCATTGAGCCCTTAATAAAGGCGAGTATGGAATGGCTAGATCGGGGAACATGCAGAAATCATGGGGTACAGTGTCCCTGGAACAGGAAGACTGAATAACCCAATCTTGGCTTCTACCCTGTTGGCTAATGGGTCTCTAACTACAGAGACACTTTGAATTGGGTCTCTCTTTTTGTTTTTGTTTTTTGGTACTGGGAATCGAACTGCAAGTGCTGTGCCTCTGGGCTACAGCCCCGGTCCTTGTTGGGTCTCTTAACTTCAAGCCGATAGCACTCAGGTGACAGCCCCCATCTTGGAACCCTCAGTTTTTCCAGCCTGTCTCTTTGTGATATCTGTCCCCATGCCCAGCTGCTGTCATGGACATTTCCCCATCCCTGGGGCTATCTTTCTGTTCCATTGACTGCAGTGACCTCTCCTCCATCCCAGGGTAAGCACATCCTTGTGTAAGAAGCCCCCCATACCCACCACTGTGAGCCAGTCCTGAGTCTGTTTCTACCATGTCCCGTGGTGCGGCTTCTCTACCCCCCTCATCCCTGTCGGGTTCATTGCTGGTTCTGGTCTGTTTCCCTCACAGGGCACCAGCTCTCATAGGAGGCACCCAGGTCTGTCTAGCTGCTGTGTCATCAGCTTGGGGACACAGCTAGGAATGACTCAGGAGTACAGCTCAGATCTGTCTGATGCTTCCAGTTGTACCTTCAAGGACAGCTTCTGGTAGCCTTCTGCCACATCCCAGATGGCCACAGTCTTGTCAAAGCCCCCGGAAATGAGAAAAGAACCTGTAACACAGCAGGGGAGAGTCTAAGACTGTTGTGCGGGGTCCCCCTCTGTGAGGCCCAAGCAGCTCACTCTGATCACAATGAAACCCTTCCTGGGTGTTGGTGACCCCCAGCCAATCACAGCAGACTCTCATGCCTAGCATCAGCATCCATCGTCCATCGGTTTACTGTGGATGCTGGGCTAGCAAGGGCGGAACCACTGCTCCTGGGAACGGGGTTAGGTTCCCACAAGCCTCTGATCATGTTTTCATCAGTTCATCAGTACCTAACCTTGTTTCATGAGTGTTTTTGTTTACACACACACACACACACACACACACACGCACACGCACACGCACACGCACACGCACACGCACACGCACGCACTTGTAGACACTGATTCATTAACACTGAACTCATAGCCAACGGCAGCAAGGCTTGTGGCTGAACTCAAGAGTCTCTGACACGTGTTTTCTCCGTCAAGCACATCACAGTTCTTGCACTTAGCAACATTAGACAGCTCTTCAGACTGTGCACAAGGCCATGTTAACAGTAAAACTACTGATAAAAGCACAGAAACGTTGGGGCTGGAGCTTTGTTGCTTAAGCCATGTTGAGCTGAGTTTCCACTGCTTATAAACAAACTTGAGCCTATGAATCATTTTGTCCTCATGGCAAAAAAAAAAAGAAAAGCAAAACAAAACAAAACAAAAACCCACCCTGAGTTAGAATCACTGCAAATCGCCTGTCTGGGCTTAGCAAAGTCCACATGAATGGAATATGAGGAACTCTGCCCAGCACCCTTGGAGAACAGAGCCTGGGATGCGTCCATCACTCACTGTCTCTGGCAAAACAGCAGGAGCTCACGGAGCCTTCGTGGCCCTGCATTAGAGTCACACAGGCACCTCGGTTCCGAAACTCCCCTGTGTAGACATTCCATATTTTTAAGCTTTTATCCCAGGAGGCTGTGCACAGGAAATGGCCACTGAAGGTAAAACAGCAGTTTGATAGACCGCTTTCGTGCGCTCTGAAACACAGACAGGGGGTGTGTTAGACCTCCGGGATTGGTGTTCCCCACATCCCTAGAGGAGGGGAGGTGCCGGAAGCGGCCACCATCTCCTGTGAGCAAATGGACATCAGTCCTTTGATGCACCACAGTGAAGATATGAATTGCTTAGACGGTGGCACAGTACTCCAGGACTTCTCAGCCACCCTAGTGCTGACCTTCTGTGCTAGATAACTCTTCGTTGTAGAGGCTTGAGCTGCAGGAAGTAGGGTGCTTAGCAGTATCCTTGGTCTCTACCTGCTAGATGTCAGTAGCTCCTGTCATAAGCCATTTATGACAACCAAAAATGTCCCCAAATATGCCAAATGTCCAGCTGGGCACCAACCTGCCCCTAGTTGAGAAGCACTGGAATATTCAAAAGCCACTGTGGCCTGAGGAAAAAACACCTGAAAAGCTCTCAGTGGTGGCTAATGGGTTAAGAACAGTTCAGCTTCAGTGCTGGATCCAGGTACCCGGAGGAGCTCCCTCTCCCCACTCCTTTCTCCCTGTGAGGCTGGGCTTGGCTCCTTCTCTCCGTGTCCCACCCCCGAGTCCCCTGTCCCACTTCTCTCTCACTTATTGTCCTTATTTTTGCACACCAGTGCTCTCTCTCCTCTTTTTTTTTCCCACCTCTCCTCATCTGTCTTCAGTGCCATTAAAGTCAGCTCCTTAAGGGTGCCAAGAATAAACTTCCCAGAGATCTGGCCTATGCTGGGCACTCCTGGCTAGGATTTTTCTTTTTGAGACAAGTTCTCATTATATAGTTCAGGCTGGCCTTGAACTCACTATGTAGCCCAGGTTGGCTTGGAACTTTTGATGATGCTCCTATCTCAGCCTCCTGAGTGCTGGGATTATAGGCATGTGACAGCATGTCCAGGTTTGGCTAGGAGACAATCATCATAAAAGTGTTTGTAGGAGAATTATTATAAGTCACACTGAAAAGCCAGGGATTTAGCTCAGTGTCATAAGCGCCTGGCAAGTGTAAGGTCATGAGTTCGATCCCTGGTATCAAAAAAAAAAAAAAAAATCACTCTTGAAACAAGAAGTTAGAAAACTTCAGTGAAGACACATGGGAGACCAAGATGGCAGAAGAATAAGGAAGACAAGAAGGAAAGAAGTGGGTTCACTGGGCCCAGGAAGAATCTGAAGTGTGAACTGAAGCTCACAGAGAGAGAGAGGAGGGAATGAGGAGAGAAACGTCAACAAAGAAGGAGACAGCCAGTGATGCCTTCTTCCTAAGACAGGACTCACTGCATGAGAGGAGCAGTTCAAACCCGTGGACCCAGGGTGACGGTGATGTCTGTGACCCTGCAGGCCTCTTCAGAGTAGAAGGGAGCAGCAGATGTGAGGGACTACACTGGCCGAGGTGAGTGCAGAGGACCTAGTCCTCTTGCAGGAGACTGCAATTAGCTGGTGAAAGGATTTTGGCCCAGACAAGACACTGTAGCCCGTAAAGCCTTGGAGGCAGAACCAAGGGGCTCCATCTTCCCCACTCCTAGGAATTTACCTGTGGCTACCTGCACATCACTAATGCCCCTTAGGCTCCACCCCAAACCTAAGCTACACGTATGCCTCCACTCCATGTGTCTGACGGAGAGAATGCCAGCCCCCAGAAACCCCAGAGGGTCAGGGGGTCTCTCCCTGCATTCTTAAAATAAAGGTCATTTATATTCCATACTTCTTATCTTTTCAGCCGCGCCAGAATTCTATTATATGGCTTCCTGACCGGGAATCCAATTCTATCAGCCGGGAGCCACCTTTGAGATGGGCCTGCCTGCTAAAACCAGAATCCAGAGCTGCTGCCAGCTCCAACTAGCAGGTCCTCAGACCTGCGGAAACTGCTCTGACAGTGGCAATCCAATGAGTCTGGTCTTGGTGCAGACCTGCTAAGATTATCCACTACCCCACCAAGAAGCTACTGCTGGCTTACTGGGAGAGAGATGCAAGAATTGGGACCTTGTCTCCACAGGTTGGCCATGAGTGAAACCAGAGAGAACCCTGCAAGTGGACTTTTTCTTTTTGTTTTATCGTTTTCACCTTCATTGTTTGGTCTTATTCTCATAGGAGTGTGAATGTGATTCCTAGTCTAGTGTAGTTGTGATTCTGGTCTGTTCTTCCTTTTATCTCTTCCATTTCTCTTTTCTTTCAGTCTCTTGTACTAGTTTCCCAAAGTTGATATGATCCCTCTTTGTTCTCTGACCTTCTGATCTATTTCTCTTCTTCCATTTTTCCATTTTCTTCTTAATCCATTTTAAATCTTAACCCTTCAGGGCAAAATGGACTTGTTTATTGAGTATAATTTTCTAGTTTGTTTTAGATTTTGTTATATAACCACAAATCTAGTTCATCTGGTTAAAAGTAGCAAAGTAAGAGTTAGCTCAGTTTGTCATTTTCTTTTCTTTTTCTTTTTTCTTTTTACCGGTACCAGGGATCGAACTCATGACCGCCTGCTTGCAAGGCAGGTGCTTATGCCGCTGAGCTAAATCCCCAGCCCTAGTTTGTCATTTTCTAGGCTGTGTTTGATGCTATTTGTGACACTATAGTCAAAATTGACATAATTGTTCTAAATTGTTGTTCCTGGTATTCCATGACTGAAATTGACTAAGGGTCACAGAAAATACTGTGGCACAGTGCCAAAGAACCAGGGCTTGGGTCAAATAAGCAACAACTTCTCACCTGCAACCAACTGAAGAGGTAGGATCTTCCAACAGACACAAAACCCAAAAGCCAGCTATACCTGGAAGATACTTCTGAGAAGCAGTCATCACCTAGGGATCCTAAATACTAGCAATAAGGCAACCTACCAAAGGCAATTTACAAGCATCACCCCAGGAACTAAACTAAAAGAAGAGAGAAAAAATGAGAAGGCACTTAACCAAAATGCAACCCTAGACATCTCAAGTTCACCAAAGGCAAATCCAGGGGGGCAATGAGGTGGGACAATCTGAAAGCACCCCACTGGGCCTCTCTGAAGTGGTAACAGCAAAGCAATTTAATGAGGCTCCGGAAAAAAAATCAAATCAGAAATAATCTCTCAGATAAAGACCATGCTTAGTGATGCTAGAACAGATACAAACAAAAAATAGACAAACTTAAGAAAATTATGAAGCTCAGCATACAAAAGAAGTGGAATCTACAAATCAGATTCAATAAGACACCCAGGACAGTAAAAATTCCATTGGAAGTGTTTAAAGCAGATTAGGCCAATGTGAAGACAAGATCACAGATACTGAAGACAGACTTGTAGTAGCAAACAGGAAAAGAAAGACTTCTCACAAGTAGCAAGGGGCCATGAGAAATCAATCTAGCAGCTGCTATATGAGACAAAAAAAAAAAAACCATAAGATTAATTGGAGTCAGTAAACAAGCAGGAGATACCACAAAGGATATTTAAAAAATGTTCCAGGCATCATGGCAGAAAAGTTTCCTGGTAGAGAAAAAGAATTTGACATGTACATAAATGAGGCATATAGAACTCCAGTAAGCAATGATCAAAAAAATTCTACAGCCAGGCACATCATAGTCAAGATTCCAGAAATTCAACACAAGAAGAGAATCTTAAAAGCTGTTAGGGAAAAGAAACAAATCATCTATAAAGGAAAGTCTATTGGAATCACAGAGGACTTCTCAGCACAAATTCTCAAGTCAAGGAGCCACGAAGGCCAGAAGGAAGAGATGTGGCAGTTCCTAAGCACCAAAAGAAAAGAATTGGTAATCACAATTTTTGTATCTTTCAAAGATATCCTTCCAGAAGTTTAGGGCCAGACTGGAGTACACAGTGAGTATACCCCAGTGTCTCAAAAAACCAAAACAAACAAACAAATAAATAAATAAAATGTGTATTTCCAGAGATAATCGATTTAACATAAAGCAAAACTGGTAGTCATTTTGCTGATTTCCCTCTCCACCACCACCGTCCACTGGGACAGCAAAAGAGGGTGAGTTGGGGTGCTGCCCACAGCTGGGGCTCGGTCACCTCTGCTGCCCTCACCTCTCTCACAGCCACCACGGAGCTGCTCTGAGGAGTGCGCAGAGGGGGCGCCCAGGATCCCCTAAGCCCAGCCTTCTCGCTCTGAGGAACAGCATACTGAGGACCCGCAGTGCAGCCGGGACTGTGCTAAGGTCCTGCCCCTGTGTTATCTTGTTTAGAACTCACCACTGCTCGGCCTACCAGGAGGAAACTGAGGTCCCAGTCTCCCAGAATGGGAAACCACACCTGGCCAGGGCACCAAGGGAAGCTGGCCCCAGCAGGAGTAATGGAGCAGAGCAGGCAGGGTGACCGGAGTGGCACATGTTGGGATCCTGATACAAGGGTTGCCCTGTCTGGGGTGGCCATCTGTTGGGGAACCCTTGCAGATGCTTGATTAGCACAACTTCCTGTTTTACAGGAGAAGCTCAAAATTTGCTTTGTGTGTCAGTATATGGCGGTGGACAGGGGATTGAACCAACGGCCTTTGAACTGAGATTCATCCCAGTCCTCTTTTTATTTTTTATTTTGAGACATTGTATCACCAAGTTGCCTAGGCAGTGCTCCAACTTGAAGTCTTCCTCCTTGGTCTCCCAGAGTGCAGGAGGCCCCCACGCCCTCCTGGATTTCACATATTTCTGCAAATCTCTGCTCTGTTTTCCAGGGTGGACTCACATGGAAACAAGTGCACCTGGGCCCAGCCCAGCCTGCAGGCCACAGCTGGCAGCTTCTGCCTGCCTGTGTCTCCGGCCTCCTTGCAGCACCCAGGACCACACCGGAGACACTGCCACACGGACACCTGCTTGTAGGCAGACACTGAGAGGGTGTGGAGAGCGGAGTACCACCCATATCACTGTTGCAGGATGCTACAGGCCTCTGGGACCCTTCTTACCTGGGGATGCTGAGCACCGTGGCCTGGGAAGTGACATCCCAGATCTTGATGCACCTGTCCAACGAGACAGAAGCCACTTTCTGGCTGTCGGGGTCAAAGCAGCATGCCATGATGGACCTTTGGTGATGGCCTGCAGCCAGGAAAGTGGTTCGTTACCATGAAGGCCACACTCTGGACCACTCAGACACTTTATCATGGAGACACGATTCCAGTTTACACAGGTGACTCTGCACCTGCACACACATTTTCTGAGTGCCTTCGGTGAGCCAGGCTTGGAACACCAAGCCCAGCTGACCTGCTCCCTGGTGATGCGAGAGACGGGAGAGACTTGAGCAGGCAGCAGCCTCCCATGTGTGAGGGCCATGAGGGGACCGAACAGCGCACCTCGGCCTAGCCTACCTTCCAGGGGCCCACAAGGACCCTAAAAGTCATCAGGCAGGAAAAGCAGCACACCCCAGGCAGAAGGAACAGCACATGCAGAAACCTGGCAGGGGGAATGAGTCAGAAGGATGGCGCAGGGCTGGAATTTGGAGTGGCGGAGAGGCCAAATGTGAGGTGATTCATTGGGGGGAAAAGCAAGCTGTGGGGTGATGCTCGTGTTATGGTAGCATGTTGGTGAAAAGAAACAGAGAAAGTAGTCACACATGCAGTTCAGGGAGGCCACTGCGAAATGTACTGTTAATAACAGACATCTTTGGCCAGGCATTGGGATTGGCACAGGCCTGTAATCCCTGCACTCCAGGAGGCTGAGGCAGGAAGATTGCAATTGTGAGCCCAGTCTGGACAACTAAGCAACTTAGGGAGACCCTGCCTCAAATTTCTCTTTTCTTTCTTGTCTTCTCCCTCTCCCTCTCCCTCTTCCTCTTCACTCCCCCTCCCCCTCCAGGTGATCTCACCTTCAATGTACTTCACGGTGGTGAGGTTTTCTGCATCCATTATGTAGATTCCATGATCTACATCCAAGCCTGAGACCACATATTTCCCATCCGGAGAAAACTTACAGGACGCTACGAAGGTATCGTATCTGATCTTCCACTGGAAGGGGCAACAATCAAAAAGTTGTTTCCACCCTCTCACTGGCCCAGCATCCAGTAGAACTCTCTGATGATGGAAATTTCTATCCATGCAGCATCCAAAATGGTGGCTGCTGGTTACAAGTGGTCAGTGGGATTTGTACTGGGCCATGTGAAGAAGGAACTAAATGTTTAAGGTGGTTTAATTTTAATTAATTAACTTCTTAATAAATTAATCTGTCCAAGACAGAGGCACAGGGACAGGGGCACACACAGAATACTGACAGCAAGCTTCTAGCAATGGTCAAATTTATTCCTGTTCAATGGGGTAAACAAGTTACTAAATGTTTGCCCTGTGCCTGGCACTGTACACAGGATGCCATAGTCCCAGACACTCAGAGTACCCTGTGGACAAAAAAGTGCATGATGAGCTAGCTACAGTGTTGTACATCTGTAATCCTAGCACTTGGGAGACAGAGGCAGGAGAATTTTGAGTTAAGGCCAGGCTGGGCTACATAGTAAGCTCAAGGTTGGCCTGGACTACAAATAGTGAAACTGCCTAAAAAAATAAGGAAAAAGGCAGGGAAAGGAGCACTGCATTCCCACCCAGTGACTAAGGAAAGGATCTATTCCTATTGCTATTGTGACTAATGTATGCCCGCAAATTCTTTAATAGTACTCCTCCTCCAACAGTTCCTTGAATGTGGCTGGACTCGGTGACTTAATTTTAACAAGCAGAGTATGGCAGAAGGGAGACTGTGAGGCTATACTATAAAAGAAATCATGGGGCTGGGGCTGTAGCTCAATGGTAGAGAACATGGTCAGCATGTTCAAGGCCCCTGCTTCAATCTCCGGCTCAAAAAAATAAAAAAGCAAAACAAAAGAAATCATGAGCCAGTGTCAGCCACGTGAGGTCCAGGAGGAGAAACAAGAAGCCAGTTTGCCTTCCTGTGAGCAAACTGGCACTTGGGCTAGGAGACAAATTATCCCCCAACCCCACTCCTCCACCCCTCCAGGCATAAGCAACCGGCTGATTCAGAGGATCACAGGCTGAGCTGATAGCTACTGAGGTACAAAAACCACTTAATGCTTGTATTGCTAAAGTCTGAGCATCTATTTAGAGGGTAACAATATGCAATATAGCAACTATGGGAGGTTTCCTTCTATCTTGTTTTTGAAATCCAATATTGTTCTCACTGTTTTGTTTTGCTTCATTGAATTGCTTTGTTTTATTCAACATTCTATTCTGATTGATTTTATTCTGTTCTGTTTTATTTGATTTTATTAGGTCTGATGGAACAGGCAGCAATTTTGAAGATAACGAGAGGCATTATGGTGCCATTGTTGATTTCCTATTATTCCATTTTGAAGTTCTGTATCACTTTCACTGTTTTGTTTTGATTGGCTTTGTTCTGTTTTATTTGGTTTGGTTTTATATTTTTTAAAAGGAAAAACAGTCTGCTCCTTGCTCTTTCTTGGACCACTTGCCCCGTGGAAGTTACTGGACGTCCTGAGGACACACAGCAGCCCTGTGTTTCCCTGGGGACCCACATGGAGCTGAACCAAGCCTCCTGCCCCGGGCCAGTGAGTGAGCCATCTTGGAAGGGATTCTCCAGCCCCAGCGGAGCCTTAAACTGGCTGTAGCCTCAGAAGACATCCTCACTGGGGCTTCACAAAAGGCCTGAGCCAGAACCAGTTCAGGAAAAGGAAATTTACAGCAGAAGAAATAAACACTTAGGAAAATATTCAGAGTCAGGAATAGTCAGTGCAAGTCTCATTTTTCACCTCCCACATTGCCTACATTTTGAAAACTCATGATGCCCAGTGCTTGAGGGTGGGCGGTGGTGTATTCTCCCTGAGGGCCTAGGGTATGAGTGGGCGAACTTTCTGGAAAGTGTTTTTAGTGCTCTGTGCTTCTATTATATTTGAAGCAGCAATGAAATCTAGCTGTTGACACTAAAGATATATGGGAGCACATATACGGAAAACACATGCAAACTTTCCTTATCATAGTGTTGTTCATACACAAAAATAAGAAAAGCCTTAGAGCTCTCTAACAGGGAGTGGTAAGACAGGCCCTGCCCTGTCTGTTCCATGGGGTCCCATGTAGTCATTAAAATGGACGATGGGGCTGGACCTTGTGATGCATGCCCACAATCCCCTTACTCAGGAGGCTGAGGCAAGAATATTGCGATGAGCCCGGCATGGTGGTACATGCCTGTAATCCCAGCACTTGGGAGGCTGAAGCAGAAGGGTCATTGCAAATCTGAGGATAGCCTGGGCTACAAAGTGATTTCTAGGCCAGTTTGAACTGCATAGCGAGACCTTGTCTCAAAAAGACAAAAAAAAAAAAAAAAAAAAAATCAAACCGAAACAAAAAACAATGGAGATCTATTTTTATTCAAGTTTACTGTTAATCAAAGGCAGGGGGGCATCAGGGCCCAAAAAGTACATATGTGATGACACTGTGTTTGTTAATAGGATATGTTTGACTGGGTTCATAAACAAACTGTACAGGAAAAAGAGACACTGAGATGTTATCTGTAATCTCTGACTAGTGCTTTTACAGGTTTTTGTTGTTTATTTGTTTTGTGATACTGGAGAATGAGCCCAGGGCCTGTGCACTCTGCTACTTTCCCAGCCTTTAAACAAAACAAACCAAATACAAACAAACAAACAAACAAACAAAATTCAAACAAGGTCTCCCTGCATTGGTAAATTGTCCAGACTGGCCTCAAATCTGTCATCCTCCTGTCTTAGCTTCTCCAAGTGCTAGAATTAGAGGCACACACCACCACACTTGTTATTTGTTTATCTTGTCTTTCTAAAAATGTTTACAATTAAAATAAAAGGACGAAAATGTGTACAGTGGCTATACTTGGCTCTGGCACTAAAAGAAAGGTTGTTTTTTTAAGAGAGGAGAGGGGAAGACAGCGCAGAGGGGACAGGGGTCCTGAGGAGGCCCCGGAGCAGGCTGAGGCTGCCAGGCACAGGAGCAGGGTCCCTGGGATAGGTGGACAGTGGCCCCACCCCAGAGAATGAGAACAGATTGAGAAAGGCCGGCAGCCCTTTGCCCCATGGCCTCAGCCCCAGTTCCCGCCTCACCAAATCCAAACAGCCCCCAGGGGAGCCTGCAATGCTGTGCCCAGCCCTAGCCCCAGCTCTTTCTGTGGGCCCGAACCCTCCACATCTCTCAAGCAGACGCCCTTCCTCTGCCTGCTGCAGCAAACTTTCCTCCCTGTGCCCGGCCGCAGTCATCTGTGGACTCCACACGCCAAGTGCTGGCTAGTGCAGGTGCTGCTCCCGCTGCACGCTGCTTGCTGAGAAAATGCTCTTATCCTGGAAGGGTGGGGCTTTCATCATCTCCCCTGGTCCTGGTCCAGCCCAAAGCTCCCAAGGCCCAGACCAGCCCCGAGCTCGGTGTTCCCCTAGGGCTGGGTGGGCTTACCAGCAGCTGGCCTGTTTCAAGGTCCCAAGCCCTCACTGTTTTGTCATAGGACGCTGCAAGAATTCTGCAATACAATGACAAATATGGGTCTTAACCACCAAGACAAGGCCTGTGGTTTCCCTGACAACTATTTCTTTTTTACACAGTTTAGGACCAAGATTGCAAATAATACCAGCATCTTTTAAAAGATGGTCCATGTCCACTTGGAGAGTGGTGGTTCCCACTGAACACAGGAATGACCTGGTACGAGCAGAGCCGTCCAGGCCACTGCTGTCCTTACTCCTCCAGCCACCGGAACGTGCTCTTTTATGTAGAGGACTTTAAAAGCATCATTTCGTCTGCTATCATTTCTTCTTTCTAAGAAGATCTCTACAGCTCACAAGGTACTTTCTTCCCTCCCTGCTCACATCTGTCTTTTAACAGGAAAATGTTTTCGGAGGCAGTGGGTGATGTTCAGGAATGTTTTCTCATACATTTAACAAAAATATATTCATACTGTATGCCTATATCTTGTATTACATCTTTCTGTGGCAAAGCTTGTTCGATATATAAAGTTAAGTTCCCATGAAACTTAAATCCCATACTAGTTTGTAACCGGTGTACTGGTTTTGGAGCTGCTGATCAGATTAAAAACAAATCCACGTTCAAGAAAATTCCCTTGTCTGTTGAAGGCCCATCTCCTGTCTGTGTGAGTGGATTTCAGCAAAGGTAGCCCCGAAATCCTCCTCTTGTGTGCTGCTGCCTCCTGGCCCTGGACCTTCCCTGATGACAGCTCAGGCCTTCCCTGCTTCCCCAAGCCTCAGTTTCCCCTGAAAAAATGAGGGCCTGGACTAGACGGCTAAAGCCCCTTGAAACTGCCACAGTCTACGTGCGGCTGTAGAAAAAGATACTTCACAAACAAAATCCAGACCGTCTTTATGTTAATCACAACAAATGTTCTCTTTAAACATATAAAGCTTGCAAAATGTTGTCACATCCACTTGATCTCAGGAGAAAAAAAAAGAGAGAAGCAAGATATACCACGTGCAAGTACAAATTCCTGATGATGAATGTTATCATCATGTATATCTAAAGTGTAGCAATAAAATAAGAAAAAAAAAGTGGAAACCCTGAGACCAATCTAGGAGAGTAGAGTTGTATAGTTGCTTTAAAAACAAACAAAGTAACACCTTATGATGGCCGTGCTGTATGCTGGCCTCTCTGTGGACTCTCATTTTTGCTGAGCAATGTAAAACAAAGGAAAGATCACCTTCTGCTGTCAGCCGTGACGCTGCACTCTAACACAGGAGCTTTGGGCCTTTGCTCAAAATCCCGAATCACAGTTCCATCCACAGGATCCTCAAATCAAGGGGAGAGAGCAGAGAGAGAGGTCAGGGCTGTGTCTGTCGGTCATGTCAGCACAGGGCTTAGCCTGTCTACAGAGCCTAGTTGGAAAACGTCATAGTCCCACGACTTTTCCCTCATCCTCAAAGAGCAGACCTTTCCAACAGCTCCCCAAGCAGGAAGAAGGTCCGCACCAGCCACGGATAACTCCTCAACAGCTCCACAGGCAGCAGGTGGGCACCTGCTACTCGGAGCAGAGGGGCTAATGGATCATCTTCTCATTCTCTTTTAGCCAAAGGGGCTTTGCACATGCTGCCTGTTACTCTGAAAATAAGACCTAAGTAGAGATCAGAACTGCCAGCCCCAATCAGCCTGTCCTTACCTTACTGGCCATTACACAGAGGCCCTTGAACAAAGAATAGTGAGGTGTGAATTCCCATACAACACTGGCCAGCACCATGCTAAACAGCTATTAATTACAGTGGAAATTTGTTTTCTGGTTAGGTCTCATTCCAGGGAGCCGTGGTAGACATATCTTTCAATAACTTTTTTTTAAAGTTTCACACCTTCAACTTGGCAGTTCTACTCGGAGTTCTGCTCCCAAAGAAACCACCAGATTTATGGTCAAAGATTTATACATAAAAGGTTTCTAGTGACAATCTAGGTGTCCATCTAAAGAGGAACAGTTAAACAAATTAGCACATCCCACAGGGGCACCAGCAGCTGCTAATGATCATGCAGATGGTAAACAATGTTAGAGAACAAAGCAGGGGCACCAAAGCTGCCAAAGCTGTGGCAGCAAAGAGAAAATAGTTTTAGTAAGGAACACACCATCAGCTTTTCTGGGTAAGCAGCTGGGGCGGCAGGTTGTTAGTAAAACAGTGACTTACTAAAAAGATCTTGTGTTGTTATATAAGACCATGGAGTAAAGGTATGGGGACTTTTCAGCCTGCCTGCCAAGGGCAGCTGCTGATAAGATTCCTTGGTTATGTAGGGACTGCTTTGCATTAGGACCTCCAGTGTAACAGGAAATGTTCTCTCTCCCCCGGGCCAGTATATTTCTTAGCTGTCCAAGTAACAGTTCCTGTTCCAGTTCCAGTTGCTTCTGGTCTCTTGGAAACGGCTGGTCACTGTGATGCACACTGTATAAACCAAACCCCAACTGACAAGCCATCCTGCCTTTGTACTTCCTGCTTGCTTATCCCATATAAACCCTAGACCACTAGGGCTCAGGACCTGGTATTTTAGGAATGATCCTGATCAGTGTCCGTTGATGTGAAATAAATCTGCCTCCAAATCCTGGGTGTCATTTCAGTGTCTCCACTTGCCGTTTTACCAAGACCTTCTGGGAAGCAAAGGACCCAGTGTCAGGAGTACCCAAGGTCACATTACAGTCATATTCTCTTACAGTCACATTCACAGCTAAGGCTCTTTGCCAAACCAGCCAAGAGAAGGGAGAGAGGGGAGTGAAGTCCAGAGGAATCCAGGCACAGTGTCCAAGAGTCCTCTTCCCACAGAGTGGCTCAGAAGTGCTGAAATCCTCCAGCAACACATTATAACAGCACACAGGAAGTGTCTACTGGGAGGTTGTAGCGGAGCCTGAGTCTAGGGGTTTTTTGTTTGTTTGTTTTTTTGGAGGCAAGGAGTGGGAACTCTCTGCCTACCATGGACCTAAATTCCAGACTTCTGGAAAGAACCCAGTTTGCATAAACAATTGAGGCAGACTGAGCCACTGATCACAGGAAACTTTACCAGGCAAGCCCTGGCTGCAAGCCAAGGGCAGTCTTCCTAAGGCCAGCAGCTTGGGCCTTCCATATGAACACTTTTCTGTACAGACTCAGCCCCGACCCCTTGTTCTATAAGACTTGATACAATGGAGTTAAATTTGAGGGATCCCAGCAGGCCCTACTCAAAGCCCAGAGGGAGGGAAGGACAATAGGACTCCCAAAGTGGAATGCCCAAGACAGGACCCATCTAGGGTCCTGGAGTCCCTGGAGTGGCCAGGGTTCTAGAGTCCAATGGCTTGAGAAGAATGGGCTGTTTCTGACAGCCTGGGGTCGAGCCTCCATGGCTGGTGGGCTGCTCCTGGGAAAAAACACATGATTGTGAACCAAAGTGGTGATCACACAGGGGCCTGGGACTGAGGCCTACATAGTCTGCCTCATGCCAACCAAGGGCAGACGAATGAACCAGAGATCAAGGGGCTGTGCAGGTTCAGAACTCAACAGAGTCATCACATGGCCCAGAGAAGGCATAGCAGCCATGGACAGAGAAGCCAGCTCCCTCTTTACTTGGGAATAGGACAAGTTAAGTGGTGAAGTTTTTATGGATGGGGAGGTAGAGTCTCTAATTAGTAGTTAGAACAACCAAGAAGATAACAATACGTGTGACTCAAGTGTCTTATGGTTACCTACTCAGTATTTCTGTATGGTCCCAATTTTGTAAATGTAAATGTATGCACATGTGAATGCACATTAAAAAAAGACACCCTCTAACATTGTCACAGCGGTTAACTCTAGGGTCATGGAATGAGTTTTTCCTTCTTTTCTGTGCTTTGATACAGCATAGGGAGGATGTGGCGGTCTGGTGGGGTCTGGTGTGGGCTTGCTAAGCTCTGGGGCAGCCCCAGAACACAGCTGGTCCTATGAGGCTGTGGGACTCACGGAGGCCCCAAAGGTCATTCATGTATCCTCCAGGGTTGTACAACTGATGATTCCTAAGTGTGGATGGATCCAACTTGGACAGTCCCCAAGGCCTCCTGTGGCCAGCCTGGCCTTGACACTCACAGGTGACAGATGTTCCTCTGAGGTCAACCTATAGAGTCAGGGGCTGTGCTGGGCCCAGTTACTCATAGCAGAGAGCCAGAGAAGCAGCTTTGACTCATTCTATTGTACCTCCTTGCTGCCCCTGAAGCCAGAAGACAGCAAACTGAACTGCCAACTGCCGGGGCTGGGAATATAGCTCATGGGCACAGTGCCTGCCTGTAGCACAAGGTCCTGATTTGATTCCCAGTACAAAAACAAACAAACAAACAAACACAAAACAAAACCCCCAGACAAACAAACATCACAGAACTGTCTACACTTTCCAATGGCCCAAAACCCCAGATGCCCACAATCTGTGGTCTGGCCCCTGATGACCACTGCCATCCTCTAGCCCTACTCTCTACTCACCCCCTCCTCACTGATGAACAGTGCCCCCAAACAGCGCTGCCAGGGTCTGCTGGCCGTGCTCACAAAACTTTGGATGGCTCCAGGTGGCCACTTTCCTAAACACATCTCTGTTCCTTGTGCCCCTGCCTCTTGCACCTTGGGGTACTGATCTCTACTCTGGTCTGCCTCTTTCTTTTTCTTTCTTTCTTTTTTTTTTTTTTTTTTTGTCTTTTTCCTTTTTCTTTTTATTGGTACCAGGGATCGAACTCATGACTGCCTGCTTGCAAGGCAGGCGCTTATGCCGCTGAGCTAAATCCCCAGCCCCTGGTCTGTCTCTTTCAACCACCCTTATGGACTAGTCCCAGGCTCGGCCACTTTTCTATCTTCTGTGACCACCTAGAGCTGGCCATGGAGTCTTTGTGTATGGAACTGAGTTTTCCAGATGAGGAAGAGACCAAGAGAATTGGCTGAGAGTCTGCAGAAATAACTCAGACATAACGGGGACCACCCCCAAAATAGTCAGGGGACTCTCAGTTTAATGGACTCCATCCCTGTTCCTACCATGTTTAGATCCACAGACAGGCTACAGCTATACTGACTTCTCTCTGAGAGTTTGGTGCTAGGGTGAGTACCTCCTTTTTATATTTTGTTCAGAAGCTCTTCACAAAGCTTGAGCTTCTGAGTGTTAGGGAACTCAGTACTGGAGAACTCTCCACAAAAGATGCTTAAGCTTTTGAGATGTTTTAGTTCCCAGAGAACCTAACATGAAGCCACTTACCCACAGCTTCACAGTACAATCATAGGAGCCACTGAGAAGCTTTGTGTCATTCACACAGAAGTGGCAGGAACTCACAATATGCTCATGCCCTCTCAGAATTTTAAGTGGGATCTGAAAGAAAGGATTGAACAAACAATAAGGTTGCAGGAAACAAGGTCAATATACAAAAATCAACAGTATTTCTAAACACGGGTACCATGAACACCTGAAAAAAATAAGAAAAAAATTTGCATTTACAAAAGTATTCAAAAGAATATGTAAGAATTGAACAAGGAAAGTATAAAAATTATTTCTGAAAATTCAAAATATTGTTGAAAGAAATTAAAGAAGACCTAACTAAATGGAAAAATATTCCACGTTCACAGAGAGCCAGGCATAGCACTGTTACGATGATATAATACTCTCCAAAATCTATAGATTCAATACCATCTCAAGTTCCAAGCTGATTTTTTGGTATAACAGACAGGACAATTACATGGAAATTCAAGAAAACTCAAATCAATCTTAAAAAAGAACAACCAAGATGAAGGAGTCACACGCCCTGATTTTGAAGTGTCCTATCAAGAAACTAATCAAGACAATATAATGGCATAAGGATAGAACCATAAATCAATGAGATGTAATTGATAATTCAGAAAGGAACACTTGTATTTACAGTCAACTGATTTTTTAAAAATAAAAGTTCTGAGGCAATAAACTTGGGAGACAATAATTGTCCTAGGAAACTGGGCATATACAAGAGAATGAAGTTGAATTTATACCGTACATCATATAAAAATAAACTCCAAGTCAGGAATGGTATACACCTGTAATCCCAGTTAGTTGGGAAGCCAATGCATAATTTCAAGTTCAAGATCAAACAAGGCAATTTAATGGCTTAGAGACATCCTGTCTCAAAACAAATAAATAAATAAACCAGTTCAGTGGTATAGTGCTCCTGAATTCAATCCCCTGTATTACAAAGAAAAGAAAAAACTGGGAAATGTAGCTCAAATGGTACAGTGCTTGCCTAGCATGCACAAGACTCTGGGTTCAATTCCCAGTACCACACACACACACACACACACACACACACACACAATTTTTTTAAAAAAACCAAATGGATCAAAGACTTAAATGTGTTTAAACTATGATACTTTTATAAAAACATAGATATGAATGTATTATACACTAGGTTTGCTTTTTTAGATATGATAGCAAAAGCATGAGTAACACCAACAAAAATAGATAAACTGGCCATTAGCAAAATTAAAAACATTTGTGTTTTCTTGGCTACCACAAAAAAAGTAAAAAGACAAACCACTATTAATGGGCAGGATTTTTCCTAATCATGTATGTGATAATGGCTTGTATTTAAAATATGTAAAGAACACTTATAGGTCAGCAATAAAGAGAACTCAATTTAAAGATGGGCAAGTGATCTAGATAGATGTTATTCTAAAGATATGCTGCTATGGCTTATATCTAGATGTCTCCACATAGCCGCATGTGTCCATAGGTGGAGCTTTTAGGAGTGGCTGGATTAGTACACTGATTAGTTTAGCACAGTTCTGAGAGTTGATGAATTTCCTGAAAAGGAGCGCCCTACCTCGGGTGTGGGTGGTACCAACCAATAGGCTTTAGCCAGGATGGAATAAAAAGGGAAAGAAGGAAGGCTTGCTGCTTTTTCTCTCTCTGTAACTAATTGTTTCTCCTCTACCATGCTGCCCTGCCTTGGATTGAAATCTCTACAACTATGAGCTAAAATAAACCTTTCCTCCTTTAACTTTCAGGTGTTGGGTAATTTGTTTTAGCAATGAGAAAGTAACTAAGACAAATGCAAATGTTTGACAGCACATGAAAAGGTTCTGAATATCATTAGCCACTGGGAAAATACAAGCAGAAGCCACCAGTGTGATACCGTGCCATATTTGTTAGGATAGCTATAGCAATAAGTGTTGGTGAGGATGTGGGAAACGGAACTGTCACACATTGTTGGTAGGAGTGTAAAATTGTACAGTGACTTTGAAAAGCAGTTCTTCAAAAAGTTAAAATATAACCCAATAATTTCTGCCTAGGTGTATACCACACAGAAATGAACACATCCACAAGAAACTGACATATGGTGGTAGTGCCCATCAATGATGAACAAATATAGAGAATATTAGTTGGAAATAAAAAGGAATAAAGTACTGATGTGTACTTCCGTGTGGATGAACCTTGAAATACTGGGCTAAGGAAAAGACCTCATAGTGTCACTTGATGCTATCACTATGAAAGGTCTAGAACAGGAAAATTTGTGGAGACAGAAAGGAGACTGGTAACTGCCTAGGGCTGGCAGAAAGGGCTTTGAGGAAATGGGGTGACTGCTGATGGGCACCAGGTGTCATTTTGGGTGATGAAAACATGCTAACATTGACTGTGGTTATGACTACGCAAGTCTGTGAATGCACTAAAAACCACTAATAGTAGAATTATATGGAATATGAATTATTACTCATAAAGCTAAAAATAAAAAGACACTTAGCCTGAGAACAAAAGCCCCCCCCCCATGGCCACGAGCTGGGGTGCTGGGTCAGAATGCGGGAGAGCTGGCTTTGGGAGCTTTGGGAGGTGTGAGTGCGGGACACCGGACAAAGCGTTTGGACTCCTGCGCTGCCTGAGCGCAGGATGCGTGGACAGTGAGAAGGAGGTGCAGGCGGAGGGTGAAAGCAAGGTAGGGGGCTGGGGATGGCAATGTCGTGGGAGTGTAGGGGTGAGAAGACACCGCCTCCTAGGGGCTCGGGAGTGGGAACTCGGCGAGGCGCCTGCCGCCAGGGGGTGTGGGGGGAGCTGTGCTAGGTGGCAGACGCAGGGCCACCTCCGGGGGCCACAGCCCAGCCTGGCGGCTCCCAGAGGCGCCCTTGTTTCCCAGCCAGCAGAATGTGGAAACGGGGTCACCGGCGTCTGTTCCAGCTGGCCCTGCCGCAGCCTCTCCTGGGGGGCCACAGAGGGGCGAGGCTGGGGTGGAGGACTGGACCCAGGACCCGGGGCTTCCCTGAGGCTCTGACCTTGGAGAGGGGCTCCTGGTCGCCCCAGAGCGCCTGTGGCATCGTGGGGTGCTGCACAGACGGCAGAGAGTACTTGTTCAAGGCCAGGGGGTCCAGCGAGGCCAGCAGCTGGTCGCGGCGCAGCGCCGGGAGCGACATCCTGAAGTGGCTCACGGCTGTCACCACGGTGGCCCAGGGCACCCCGTGGGGCGAGAGCGACTGGACCGCGAGCATCCCCTTCGGGTTCTCGGCCCAGGTTTTCTGGGAGTCCGGCGGCGGCGAGGCCATCTCGGATCCTGAGCGCCAGTGGCCGCCCAGGCCTGGCGCTGGACGGTGGCAACCGCACCCCTGCGCCCCGCGCCACCCCGGCCTTCGGACCCACGCGCCTCCCCGCGGAGCCTCCCACACGGACCCCGCTGCCCCCGGAAAAACAAGCTCGGGTTCTGGGCCCGAAAGAGCCCTTGTTTCGTCCTTTTGGGTCTCCCCAGCAGGGGGAGTTCTGTGTTCTGGGCTCTGTGGGAGCTGCGGGCAAGCTCTCTCTGTCAACTGATGGAGAAACAGTCAATAGCTGAAGGAAAGGCCGTTGCGGAAATACGATGTTGGGTCGGGGTGGGATCACACAGCACAGGAGATTGTAAGGGAAAGATGTCACTAAATCAGCGACAGATGGGGAGAACAAAATGCTGCCTCTTGTTTGACAACAGGCCCTTGGCTAGGAAACAGAAGACTGGATGGAACTATTCCAAAACAGCGAAGTTGTCATCTCTGGGTAGCAGGTCAGTGCACTGCTCAAGCCAAACCGGAGCTGGTCTTGCAGTCCGTCAGCTCTGGTTGCTTTTCTGCACTGCACCAACAATTTAGTCATCTGCACACTCAGATGTGCAGAACACTTTTTCCCTGGGAACCAACACTGGAGCAGTTTCCAATCTGTTCTACTCCCAGACTGAACCACACTGGGTGCCCAGTAATAACATGAACCTGGTTAAAAGCCTGAAGAAGACGCCAAGGTACAATAAGAGATGTCAACAGTAGAGGCACAGCTACTCTTTCTATTCAAATTTCCTTGGGTTCAGATGGTAACCTATGTACCAATGGCTCTATTTATTATAATGCCAAAGTAGTTGAGGTCAGGGGAAGTTCAGCAGTAGTGCTTGCCTAGTAAGGCCCAAGGTTCCATCCCTACTACTGTTAAAAAATAAAAGTAGCCAGGCTTGGTGTACATCTCTGTAATCCCAGCACCCAGAAGGCTGAGGCAGGAGGATCACAGAGTTTGAAACCGGCCTGGGCTACATAGAGAGTTCAAGACCACCCTGGACTACATAGCATGGCCTTGTCTCAAAAGCAAAACAAAACAAACCCTTTATTTAATATGGGACAATGAGTTTTATGATTTAATGTCCAGCCTTTAGGATGCCTTAAAATGTGTTTTTTCCTACTTTGTAATGTTCATCATTAAAAAAAATACAGCTAAATAAATTAAAATATGTTGCTATGAACAAAATAAAAAACATCTGAAAAACCAAGCATTTGCATTGATATCCTCTGTTAAGGCCCAGTGGGATCCCTGTCTCCTATCCCAGCCTGTTCCCCTCCCTGCCTGGCTCCATGAGAGGCTCCGGGGCTTCTCTGGACACCAGAAGCTGAAGCACCAGGCCCTGCACTGATCCTGGGACACGGGGAAGTTACTCACCTTTCTTCCATTTGCGCCCTTTCTTGGTCTTGTTTTCCTTTGTTCTTTGTATGTTTCTCTTTTTGGGGTGTCTCAGGTTTCTGAAACACGAATATAATAAACGCGTGAACTATAAGTACTAAGAAAATAAGCTCCTAAACTGCTGTTAGGAGTCCGACGGGACAGAACCTTTCTGTGAACGCCGGGCTCCCGCCCTTTGATTTGCGTCTGCTTCGGTGATGAACAGATGAGTGCGAGGCGCTGTGGCGCTGCTCAGGAAGCGGCCTGAAGCCTCAGTACCACACTGTGCAACCCAGGCAGGCCCTTCCTGCCGAGGACCTGGATGGAGATGAAGTCGCAGCAGAAAACCCACTCGCTTCTACAATGGATCCTCAGTAAGCTCGGCGCCAGACGAGGCCTGGCTCCAGAGCCAACCCCAAGGTTCTGGCGCATGGCACAACTTCTCCAAGTCTCCTTCCCTATTGTTAAAACAGGTGACAAGAATCCCTGCTCTCTTAGGGACATATGGAGGATGAGCTCAGACCAGGTATTTGAGTCTCATAGCTCAAAATTCAGCATATTAATATCAACTCTTCAGGACCAAGGATTTAGCCCAGTGGCATAAGCACCAGCCTGGCAAACATGAGGTCATGAGTTCAATCCCTGGCACACACACACACAAAAATTAGCTCTTCATATGTCATTTCTTTACAAAAAAATACTTTATAAGAATTTGCCTTATAGGGCCAGGGAGTTAGCTCAGCAGCATAAGTGGCTGCCTGGCAAGTTGTAACTTCAGTCCCTAATATATATATATATATGAAAGAAAAAGAAAACAGAATTTGTCTTATAAGTGGGAATACTAAAAACCATAGCACTTGCCTGGCAAGTGCAAGGTCATGATTTTGATCCCTGGTATCAACCCCATGCCCCCCAAAAGGACAAAAAAACTAGTAGCACCAAAACAACATAATGTATATAATAATTAAAAATGGCTAAAGAACCTGGGCATGGTGGCACACTCCTATAATCCTAGCTACTCAAGAGGCCAAAGCAGGAGGATCATACTCAAGGCCAGCTCAAGGAACTTAACAAGATTCTGCCTCTAAGTAAAAAAGTAAAAATTAAAAAGACTGGGGATGAATCTCCAACCAAAGTCTCTCTGTTCAAGCCCCAGAAGAAAAAATAAACAAAAATAAACAAGTTACATAAGCTTGTGTTAGAACCACCACCTCAATTCAGACCAAAATGTTTTCAGAGGTTATTAATTTGCAGGTGATCAAAAACAAACAAGCAAACATCATGATAGAAGAAGCCGTACAAGTCATTAAACATCCTTTTTCCACCTAAAGAGAAGTTTGAGCTGTTTCAGAAGTGTGGCTGTTTTCCAAACCCACTTCATAAGTATTCCAATTTTTTAGAGTTAGAGTTCATCAGTTATTTCAGAATTTGACCTCCCTTGATTTTTTTTTCATGCTAGTTTTAGAAAACCATGTTGCCTAACTAACTATACACCAAATTGTTGTTAATTATTTTAGAGGTATCAAACACATCCTGGAAAAGATAGAAGGAATAATAATGAAGGAATAATTATCTCACAAAATAGCTTTCAAGTGCCAACACCAATTTTAAATTAAAGATCTAAACAACTAAAGCAAATGAGAAAATACAGTCACTTCAGTTTTTCTAAACTTTATACTTGTTTCTGCTTTCTAGCATCTCTTTGAAAGTGGCACTAATTAATCAAACCAAATATTTAAATGTGTACTGTAGGAAAATATAAAGTACATATGGAATTAATGGTATTTATATATCTAGGTCATATTATCAGGCATTTGTTAATGCAGCCTTCAAAGAGATGATAAAAAGCAATTTAAACATTTTATCAGGAGATGTCATTGTAAGATGGCAGTGCGCAAGAGTTGCTCACAGACAGCAGAAGAATTTGAACAGTATTTTCTTCAGAAAGAACTAGTTTTATTTTATTTGCTTCATTGGCCAAACTATAAAAAACTTAAAATATTCCTATCCTTGCATTTCCCCATTTATCTTTGTATGAGAGATTTTAAAAAAATTTTTTTACATCTCTAAGTTATGAAACTTCAGATGCTTCTTAGTCTACAACACACACCTGAATCCAGGAAGGGAAGGTTTAAAGGCCTCCCGCGCTGCTGAGCAACAGCTGTGTTCAGGCACCAGGTGGAGGCAACGGGTTTCAAAATGTGGCCAGAAATAAACAGGAAATAAGTAGGTCGGGTGGGCCGGGAATCAGGTTAGAGCGGTGGGTGGGTGCAGGGACCGCCTAGAGCTGAGGTGCAGGTGAGCCGGGCACTCTGCGCTCACCGGGGGGCAGGCGGCAGCGCCCGAGCTCCTGCTTTGCCCCTCTGCATCTCAGGCGGGAAGGGGGGTGTCAGGCGGGCGCAGGAGGCGCTGGCTCACTCGCTGAAAACCCTCACTCATTTGTCCGGCATTCATCCGTGGAAGTCTTTCCCCACCGAACAAACAGTGTGCTTCTCTTTACTTCCCTCGAGCCGCTCAGGCCAGGGGCTGAGGACCGAGCCACCGAGCCACCTCTGCCCTCGGGGCCACTGGGGCAGGGAAGTCAGACACAGGAAGCCCAGGTGCACCAAGGGTGTCCCAGGGTACACACTCCAGCTCACTGCAGAGCTGAGATACAGGAGTCCTCAAGGGGCCATCTGAGAAAAAATTAATACAAACAAACAGCAAACAACGGGGATGTAAGACCAGGTCCCAGCCCAGAGAACTGGTGAGGAATAAACTGTTAACAAAGGAAAAAATGAAAATAAACAACCATATTCATGTTAACAACCCCATTATTTAAAAGATGACTACATTTTCAGGTAAAAAGGGAGAGAAAATGGAAAAAAAATGCATCAAAATGCTAAGTGTTATTCCTAGGAGGTGAGATTACAAAGAATTTAAGCTTTCTGCATTTTGTGAATGTGTGTGTTTGTCTGGGCATTTAACCTCAGATCTTCCATTGAGCTATATCCTTGACCACTTTTTTAAAATGTTGAGGCTTCTTGCTAATTCTCTAATTTTTTTCATTTTTAAGTTTCGCGACAGGGTTCTCACTAACTTGCTGCCCGCCTTGGACTCTGACTTGGGATCCTACTGCCTCTGCCCACTGGAGGGCTGGGATTACAGGTGTGACCATCCTATGCAGCCATATCTGTACTTTTAAAATTCAAACTGTATGACTTTGTAATTTAAGAAGTGGGGCTTTTCCCTGCAGAGAAAAGAAATCTGTATTTACAATCACCTAAAAAGAAATAAGATTTTCTATTTCTGTGTGGTGACCTGGAGTGGGTGCCCTCGGGTACATGTGCCTCTCGGTGTGACACACTTGGTGCACTTGGCCATAGGGGTCAGCTTTACACCCACTGCCTGACAGAAACAGGCAGGACACACTAAGACTTAGATGGGAAACTCCTTCCAACTGCACCGGCCTCCTTTCCTGTGCCTGAAACTCCTGGCAGGGTGGAAAGAGCCGGTCAGGCTTTGAGTCCTGTGGGCCCCTCTCCGATCCCGAGGACAGACCTCCCTAGTGGACGCCTACAAGCAGGCAAGGCAGGGCTGACGTCAACCATGGCGCACAAGCTGTCCCACAGGGTGGGAGGCAGAGAGCCCCTGTGCCTCCTGGCCAAACGGTTTCCAACAATCCTTGGACCACCTTGCCAATTGGGTTGAAGAAAAGTATCTTTTGGGGCTGGGGATTTAGCTCACCGGCATTCCAAGGCAGTCGTGAGTTTGATCCCCGGTACCAATAAAAAGGAAAAAGACCAAAAAAAAAAAAAAATTATCTTTTAAAATCAATTTACTATATTTAAATTCTTCTCCACTAGGGTATGTTGGAAAAATCAATATTATGAAACACAGCTGTCCTAAAATTATCTACACATTTATACTAAATAGAAAAAAACACTTTGGGGGTGGGACGTAGCTCAGAGATGGAGGACTTGTCTAGCATGTGTGAAGCCCTGAATTCTATACCCAGCATTGCAAAAAGAGAAGAAAGAACTCTGCTCTACCCAATTACAAATATAATGTTAATCACCACTGACTGCTAATTTTGCTGGGTTAAGATACCAGACTAACCATTACTGTTTCCCCAGGTCTGAGACACTGACATCCCATGTGTCACAGATGCGGTTTCCCCCAAGTCAGTGTGGGGACAGCTTTTGAAATTGGCTTCCTCCAGGCCCACTTGTGATCTTGCTCATCTTCTGAGGATGAGGTCTCTGAGGACTGGGCAAAGGCGGCCTTGAAGAAGGCCATAGACCTTCTCCATCAGCCTGTGGGCCCAAATCTCTGTTCACAGTCTGCATGAGCAGTGAAATCAGGAATACATAAGCAAGAGTATCTCAAGCCCAGCAATCTAGAACACACTCGTGCACATGTTTGTCCAGGCACACGCACACATAATTTATGTCTGTGCTGGTGTGCATGGGTGTCCACAGTCACACACCACCTGACTAAACCATGCCAATCAAACACTTTATTTTTCTAGACTAAACAGAACTGAAAACCCTCATGGAGACTGATCATTAATCAGAAGTGCAAAGGGTCCCCAAAAATGAAGTAAAGCACAGTGACTCTGTCTATCTTTTATTTGTTCTGTTGTTTTATTTTGTTTTAAGACAGGGTCTTGCTCTGTTGCCCAGGCTGACCTCAAACTTACATCGATCCTGCTGCCTCAGCCTCCTGAGTACTGGGATTCTAGCTATGTACTAGCACACCTGGCTGAATATTTTTACTATAGAAACTGTCAAATGCAATTCAGGACACCTGGTGAGCTGGATGGTAAACATTTCCTAGCATGCCACTGAGGGGCCTTTGGGTGGACTGTGGTTTTTGTCCTGGCACTGGAAATGAAATTGAAGAGGTTTCTGGTCAATCTAGCTGTTGGGTCAGAGACAAAATTGCCCACCGCCGCCATGCATGATCTGGGAGGAAAGGCTATTATCTGTTAAGAAGGGAGATACAGAGAAAGCCATCCAGGGAGAAAAAAAAGCAGGAACAGTGACAGAGTAACCCAGCAACTCAACCCCACTGGCCCAACTTGCTTTTCTGGATATCAAAGCAGAAGCCAAAGACACAGTCAGCACCCAGAAGCAACATCAGAAGCGAAGATGGCAGCAGAGAAGCACTTCACTGCCACAGGCAAACTCTCACTGTGACATGGCACAGGGTCTACCTGACAGCTTCTTCAGGAGCAGAGGTGGAGCTGGGGATCAAAGACCAGTTAGGAAGACAGGATCCCGGACAGTCTGCCCTACACCGGAGCCAGGAGAGTCAGGAATCCCAGGTTCTGTGCTTCGGTTTTAATGGCTTTGGCTTAGCCCCACCTCCCCTGGAAGGCTGACAACTGTTTCTCAAAAACATTCACAACTGCTCGCCCCTTTCTCAAAGGGAACTTTGGTCCTGACCCCCTGATTTGCTCTCCTGAGCATCCCAGTCGCTCTGCCTGCTCCCCCTTCTAGTCAGCTTGAAATTTAGGGGCTTCTCAGAGGGCTCTGCCGTGAGCCTTTTTCTTTCTCATTCTTCACTGAGCAGGCACATCATCTCCCGGGGCCTCTGTTGACCACCAGAAGGACAAGGGCTCCTGAATCTGTGTCTTCAGTCCTCTTGGCTGTCACCCTGGTCTTTCCCCATCAAGGCCAAAGACAAACTTCCCACCTAGTCTGACTTCGCTCACATTTGGTAACTCTTCACTGGGGTAGGGTGTTGGGAGCCGCAGCCCCGAGCCCGGTCGCCTTACTTGGCGGACGTGAGGCCTGTAGGAAAGAGCAAAGCCTGAGCTAGATTACCCCTCCCATCGAGTGTGCTAAGATGGCGCTTATCTCCTGCTTGGTAAACAACCCGCCCTGTAAGATCTCCTGCTTCACAACCCGCCCTGTAAGATAGTCTGCCTAGCAACAACTGATGTTAGCCAATCAGCCCGCATCGCGCGCTTTGAACTGGTTGGCCACTGTAACCCTATAAAAGTGAGTGCCTCTCCTGCCAAAAAAAGAAGAAGAAGCAAAAGAAGCAGAAGAAGCACGCAAGGAGCCGCGGAGAGCGGACCGGTAGAGGCTTCGGGACAGACTGTAGGGAGAAGCACGCAAGGAGCCGCGGGGAGCGGACCAACAGAGGCTTCGGCCGGGAGGATTCCCGGGGCAGGCTGTACGGAGAAGGAAAATAAAAGAAAAGGTTGTCCACTGCCAGACTTTGTTGTGTGTCCTTCCTGCCGGCCGGGAGTGACACCGACATCTGGTGGCCCGTACGGGGAGCTGATCACCCCCGAGACGTGGCAGTGGACAACGCTCCAACGCAGAGCTGCAAGACAGGTGAGTAGAGGATAAACCTGGGCCCTGGGTGGCGCGCACCTACAGGGTTTGTAGACTCCTCTCAGGCTCACGCGTAAGTGGCGGATTCCTTGGGCCTCACGCGGTGAGTAACATATTAAAAAATGGGAAACATGCTAGGTAGCAGCACTAAGAGTGAGGGTGGTTGCGGGGAAAGCTCTCAAGAGCTCACAAAAGTACGCAGGGTATTTGAGCAGGCCCAGTCAGGGAGCTCCCGAGAGGGGTCCGTCAAGGGGAACAAGGATGCTAAGGAGGAGGACGGGGCTCAAGCCTCGGAGTCGTCTGACTCCGAGGACGAGGGAAGGTTGAATGGTGAGGAGGCCAAAGAGACCAGCTGTCAGGAGCCTAAGTCGCTTGATGGGGAGATGCAAGGCTCTTTCGCTGCGTTGCGCCGCGAATTGCGCTCCGCTCAGCTAGGCTTACGAAAAAGCAGAGAGCTTCTGAGCGCCCCCTGGCAGGGGAGGGAGACAGAACCTTCTGCTCCGCCCTGGAACTCGTTCCCGGAAGCGGTCCCTCGCCGCGATGCCGCCGCATGGGAACTCCCCCCTCTTCCGTCAGTACAGGAAATAACGCACAGGCCGCCATTTTCTGTTCAGCCACGGCCGCCATCTTACGATGCTCCGCCACCGGCGGAACGTTATTTCCACAGACAGCTGTGGCATGGGGGTCGTGTGTCTAATGAAGACCACCCGTTCCCAGGGATAGATAGCGGCCCCTATGGGATATATCCTGTACAGATGGCCATGGGTCAGGGACGTAATGTGTGGGAACCCTTTGAAATAAAGCAGATTAGAGAACTTAAAAATGCAGTTACAACCTTTGGGCCGACTGCGCCTTACACCATTGCCATGCTGAAAAACCTGTCTTCTGGGCCCCTCACCCCCACGGACTGGACTCAGCTGGCAAAGGCGTGTCTGCCCTCGGGTAGTTACCTGGATTGGCGAGCCTGGTACGCCGAGTTCGCTGCCGAACAGGCGGAAAGAAACGTTAACCGAGGGAACCGGGGGTGGAATAGAGACATGCTTATGGGGGAAGGCCAACACGCTGATAATCAGACTCAGTTCCCTGGTGCAGTTTATGAGCAGATCAATACCATTGGGCTTCGCGCCTGGAAGCAGGTGAGTGGTGCCGGAACGGCATCCTTGTGCCTTTCTAAAATAGTCCAGGGCACAACAGAGCCATTCGTTGATTTTGTGGCTCGGATGCAAGATGCCGCCGATAAGATCTTTTCCGATAGGGAAGTGGCTCAACCGCTGGTTAGGCAGTTGATTGTAAGTTGTAGAAGGCTCAAGAGGATGTAAATTTTATTTGTCTTGATTTATAGTACAAAAACAAAAAGGGGGAGTAGGCCAAGGACTGGCCCCAAAGGCACGATTATCCATGGCACTATTCACACACAATTTTTTAAATTTAAATAATGATAATTGCTCCCCAGCTATGGAGCACTGCAACCCTTCCCCCAACCATAAAGGGTGGGTTAAATGGAAAGATGTCCTAACAGGACAATGGATGGGCCCGGATCCGGTGGTTAGCTGGAACCGAGGCGCGGTTTGTGTTTTCCCACAGGAACCGGGACGAGAACCACTGTGGGTACCGGAGAGACTGACACGGGCAACAAAGCCCTCGACTAAAGATCAGACCTGCCCTACCGGAGATCCATCACAGACCAACCAACAAGATGAATAGAAATAGCGGTAGCCCGAAATGGACAAAAAGATCCTCAGGCATATGCATGGCTCGCTCGCCTAGCCTACGACCGAGTCTAGGGGCGGTGAGCTTCCCACACTCCTCCTCTAAAAAATTATGACATAGCTGGGTAGGAGAGTCAATGACGGGTAAGAGCGTACTCCCCCGGTGCGACTCAACCTAAGCCAGGCCCTACCCCATCCTGCACGTAAGCCGCTGGACTGTTAGATGCTGCCCAGGTCTAAATTTCTCTCCGAGGGGATTTCTTTACGGAGAGGAAATGAGTGCAAGCTTGTGTGCATCCAGGTTCCGTCCAGTTTGTGCCTGGCCCTAGAAAAAGGACGAGGGCCTCAGGGCCTTGGCAGACCATGGCACGGCCGACCAGGGTCTAAGCCAAGGACCTACGGTGGGCCTACGCATAGGGCATAAGCCTCTGCACCCAGTCCAGGAAGGGCTACGATGCGCACATTCATAAAAAATAAAAAAGGGGGAGATGTTGGGAGCCGCAGCCCCGAGCCCGGTCGCCTTACTTGGCGGACGTGAGGCCTGTAGGAAAGAGCAAAGCCTGAGCTAGATTACCCCTCCCATCGAGTGTGCTAAGATGGCGCTTATCTCCTGCTTGGTAAACAACCCGCCCTGTAAGATCTCCTGCTTCACAACCCGCCCTGTAAGATAGTCTGCCTAGCAACAACTGATGTTAGCCAATCAGCCCGCATCGCGCGCTTTGAACTGGTTGGCCACTGTAACCCTATAAAAGTGAGTGCCTCTCCTGCCAAAAAAAGAAGAAGAAGCAAAAGAAGCAGAAGAAGCACGCAAGGAGCCGCGGAGAGCGGACCGGTAGAGGCTTCGGGACAGACTGTAGGAAGAAGCATGCAAGGAGCCGCGGAGAGCGGACCGGTAGAGGCTTCGGGACAGACTGTAGGGAGAAGCACGCAAGGAGCCGCGGGGAGCGGACCAACAGAGGCTTCGGCCGGGAGGATTCCCGGGGCAGGCTGTACGGAGAAGGAAAATAAAAGAAAAGGTTGTCCACTGCCAGACTTTGTTGTGTGTCCTTCCTGCCGGCCGGGAGTGACATCGACAGTAGGGGTGGTGTCCGTCCAAGAGGGCCACGTGAGGACACAGACAGACACACGGAGAGGACACATAGACACATGTGGGGCTGGCACCACGCAGCTGCAGGCTGAAGGACACTTCAGATGCCTGGGAATCCCAGCCATGGCCCAGAGGCTGGTGAGAGAGCGCTCCCCGAAGTCTCAGCAGGTGCAGGCCTGGCCACCATTGTATCACACTCTAAAGCTGAGTGACAAGACATCTCTGTCCTCGGTGCTGTCCAACCCTGGCACTTGGTCACTGCAGCCCAGGAGGGAGGGTTTCTGCCTCATCTGTGAACCCACACACCGGGCTCTCACTGCTATGTGCCTGGGCATTTCCAATGTAAAAACCCATACTTTGAGGGTTTTCCTCAAGATGGAAATTACTCTCCGCTTGCCCAGGTCACATCACAGTGAGTCTTAGCTATAGTCTTCTCACTTAGAGCTATGTCCCTGAAAGGTGGGGCATGAGAGGCACTGGGCTGTCACTGTCACAGAAAGGGGATCAAGTAGGGTACCTTGGCTGTCCCTTTGCAGCCAAATGTAGGCTTGGCTCCCCAGGCTTCGCAGTTCTGAGAACCAGGAAGAAAAGGGAAGCGAGCAATGGCTCAGGGCACCTGTCTCTTTAAATGCAAATATTTTTACTTTATTGTTTATTAATGTGTATTAATTATGCATACTAATCACCCTCGTGAAGGACTTCATGAGCTATGGAGTGAGGAGAGCGCAACAGCCCCTTCCAGGCAGACAGCCACATCCGTTCCCAGAGATGAAAACCTAGCTCAGGAAAGTGCAGTAACTCAAGCTAGACTAGCCTGGCATAGTGGCGAATGCCTATAATTGCAGCACTTGGGGGAGGCTGAGGCAGGAGGATTGTTGCAAGTTTAAGACCAGCCTGGGCTACAAAAAGTAAGCTAAAGGCCAGCTGACCTGCATAGTGAAACCCTATCTCAAAAAGACAATAAAAGGGTTGGGGATCTAGCTCAGTGGTACAAGTACCTACCTGCCTGGCAAGTACGAATTCTTGAGTTGATCTTCGGTTTAAAAAAAAAAAAAAAAAAAGACCTTGACTAGGTGACACTATTTCAGGAGAACAAAGGCTGAACACAAAAACAGAATTTAACTCAACTTCCAGGTCATTCCTTCTGTCTCATCACCCGTACCCACGTCTATATTTGCTAATAACATTTTTCTAAATTTTGTGTTGCTGGTGGTGGTGATACTGGGGTTCTCTACCACTGAGGCACACCATCCCCCGCCAGCCCTTGTGAAATTTTAATTTTCAAACAGAGTCTTTCTGGATTGCCCAGGCTGGCTTTCAACTTGGAACCCTCCTAATTCAGCCTCTTAGTAGCTAGGGTGACAGATGTGACCACAAAACCTGGTTTAGACAGAATCTTTGCAGCAATATTTATCTCTTCCTATGCATAGGGCACAGTCATGTTTTCTACTGTGTTTTATTTTAAAGCTTTTGGGGTGGCCATGATATATTACCTGGTCACGAGAAAGGCTCAGCCTGGCTCCCATGCAGTTCAGGTTGCGTCTTTGCTGCTCTGGAGGGAGAGCCTGTCTCTTCTGGGAGTCCTGGAGCCTTTATCAGGCGGCTCTGCTTCCGGTCAGGTGGGGAAGTCCAGTTTTTTTTTTTTTTGGTCTTTTTCAGTTTTTATCGGTACCAGGGATCGAACTCACAACCACCTGCTTGCAAGGCAGGTGCTTATGCCACTGAGCTAAATCCCCAGCCCCCGGAAGTCCAGTTTTTAAGGGCCCAATTCCTGAATCTTTCCCAGAAAGACCGGCACTTTCATCTCCATCTCTCCATCAAGGCAGCTCCTGCATAGTCTTCCAAGAACAAAATCGGGTGTACCTGTAGCAGCCCCATTTCAGGGCCCTCCTGGCTCTCCCTAAGGTCTGCCCAGCACTCTGGGAACAGAGGACTCGGTCTCCTGAGGATGAAATTCTCTGTGGTAGGTGGAAGGCTGACCCTCCTGCTCTCCCTCGAGGAGAGCTGCAGCCCAGCCTACAGCACTCATGCTGTGCAGGGAAGGCTGGTTAGGGTTGTGGGTGGAATTAAAGTTGCTAAACAGCAACCTGTGATTATCCTAGATTATGTATGGGCTGATGTACTCAAAAGAATGTCTAAAAGTAGAAGAATTAGGCCTTGTGGCACATGCCTGTAATCCTAGTACTCTGAGAAGCTGAAGCAAAAGGATTGCACATCTGAACCCAGCCTGGGTAATGTAGAGATTTAGTGAGCCCTGTCCCAAAGTAAAAAATAAAAAATAAAAAATGAGCTGGGGGGGGGGGTGTGTGTGTGGCTCAGTACAAAGGCCCCAAGTTCAATGCCAAGTCTTGGGAAAAGAAAAGCACACTCTACCTACTGGTTCCAGTGCTTTCCAAGTGAGACACACAGGTTGCTCAGGAATCAGATAAAGAAGGAGGCTCCACACCTTTCAGGAGAGTCACTAAGGGAAGTTTGATGTGTGGTTGGTTTTGTGTGAAGCTCAGTGGGGAACTCGGCAGAATACTGTCAGCTTGGACACTTGGGTCTTTTTCTTTTCTTTTCTTTTTTTGAGATAAGCTTATGGTCTGCTGCCCACACTAGTTCTCAAGTAATCCTCCTGTCTCAGCCTCCCCAGGAGCTGGGAATGTTGCTGCCAAGCTGAGGCTTCTATTTCCAGAAAGACCTTGGCGGCATCAGGAAACTGGGGCTTCCCTTCTCCCTGATAACAGGGTGTTTCATGGGACCGGGCTGGGCAAATGAAACAGTTCCGGCCGACTGATCGATCGCGGTGTGCACCAAGATCCCAGATTTCCCCAGGAAAGGGGCCTGAACCTTTGCATAGTGTTGGTGCTGTGGGCCCCACTTAAATCAAGGCTCCAGAGCCCAGGAGAGGGCTGGCCTTGCCAGCAGGTTCTTCCTGACAATGCCAACGCACAGATGACAAAAAAGCATGGAAAAAGATCACATGCCATCCCGGGGGTGCCAATTAAAATAGTAACAAGATTCCGGTGTCTACCTCCTAGAGTGGCCCCCCAGTCAAGACACTGGCAACGCTAAATGCTGGTGAGGCTGTGAACCAACACGACTTACATCCATTGCTGCTCGAAAGGCAAAATGGTAGCGCCGCTTGGGAAACGGTTCGGCAGCTTCTCACAGGTCTCTCACCGTATGAGCCAGGGGCCACACTCCTGGGCATTTCCTCAAAGCAGCTAAACATTGACGTCCTCACAAAAACCTACCCGTGCATATTTGCAGCAGCTTTATTCTTAATTGCCACAACTTGGAAGCAATCAGGACGTCCTCAGAAGGTAAATGAATAAATTAGTAAAATCAAGGAGTGACATTTTATTCAGCACTAAAAAGAAATGAGTTATCCAAGCCATGGAAAGACACAAAAGAGCCATAAATGCATGCTACTTAGTGAAGAAGCCGTGGGGAAAGGTACACACTGCACGATCCAGGTTTATGTCATTCTGGAAAAGGCAAAAACTGCGCTGGTATGGCCACCTTGGTATCTTGAATTAATTAAAAATATTTACTTTTTATGCTCACTTTGACTTTGGGGAAGAGCCAGAAGTCACACGGTGCCAGATCTGGTATTACAAGCCTACCTTTCTACTGGATGGCATTCACCGTGTTTTTGATTGAACCTCATAAAGACATTCATGAAAGAGGATTTCTGCAACTGTTTCGGAAGGTGGCAAGGATGGTAGGTGTGTCTCAGGTGAGGCAGATTAATAGCAATGTGTCATTTGTTGCTCTACACTTTTGAAGCAGTCTCCATATATTCTGATCATCCCTTGTATGTTAACAGTAGAAAGATCAGTGGCTATCAGGGGTCAGGGGAAGGAGGGATGAACAGGTGGCACATAGAGGGTTTGCAGGCAGTGGCATTATCCCACCTGGTGCTGTAATGGTGGACACACGTCACTCCAGCTTTTTTTGTTCATTTGTTTTGGATACCGGGAATCAAACTCAGGTCCTTGTTTTGTTTTTTTGGTTTTTGAGCCGGGGTCTCACTATGTAGTTCACACTGGCCTCAGTCTCCCAAGTGCTGGGGTTACAGGTGTGCGCCACCACACCCGGCTCTACTTTTTAAAGAATTTTGCGACTCTTAAGTCAATATACCACCTGGAATGGGCACAAACTTGTGATCCTCCCGCCTCAGCCTCTCAGAGTGTTGGGATTACAGGTATGCAGGACTGTCCAGGGCTTCTCCGGACTTCTAAGGCTGATATCACTTGAGCACCTAAACTGTGCCTTTCCACTTCCCCAGTCCCCTTTCTTCTTCCCTCTATAAGGTACCCTCTGCACCCTTCCACATCCGACTCTGGTGGCCCTTGTAAGCCAATCTTGTGAATTCTTAGCTATTTGTGTATCTTGTGTTATATCTGTTTCTCTAGTAAACACTGACTGATATAAGCCTTTAGAAGACAGTTGAAACCAGGCGTGGTGATACAACCCGTAATCCCAGCACTCGGGAGGCTGAGGCAGGAGGATTACTGTGAATTCAATGCCAGTTTGGGCTAGACAGACAATTCAAAACTAGCCTAAACTATACTGGGAGACCCTATCTACAAAAGAAAAAAAAAAAGAAGTTGAACAAGCTCCTCCCTTTTGCTCCAAGAGAAGTTGCAGCACGCTGGGGGCATCCTGAAAGCAGGAAGTGGGCCCTCCCCAGATACCGGATCTAGGCACTTGTACTTTTCAGTCTCCAGAACTGTGAGCAAATTTCTGCTGTTTATAAATTACTAAACTTGAAAGAAACACCATTGGTATGTGCATATATATGTATATAAAAAGATAGTTAAGACAGTTGTACTACCGATTCTCTGAGTTCACTGAAACATAAAGATTTGTGCAGATACTGTTCAGACAATTGAATGCAGGCATTGTGTGCTCCAGATGAGTGATTTGGGGCCGACAGTGCGCAATGGATGTACCATTGTTGCCCCGATTGATGTGTTTTCAAATTTAATTTTTTTCTCACTGAAATAAAATGGATTTGAAAAATAATTAAAAGGTAGATAACCCACAATAAATAAATAAGTTTAATGTATTTGCTAAGGTAGCCCAAAGACAATGCCAAAATGAAATGCTACTCTTGATAATTTTCAAGCTTTGATTTCCATATTCCCATTCATGTAAATGCTCATCTCACATTCAAATTCCTCCAGAGATGGATGTGGTGGTGTACATCTAAAATCCTAGCACTTCGGAGCTGAGGCAGGAAGATCCTTTCGAATTCAAGTCTAGCCTGGACTACACGGATTTCATGGCCAGTCTGAACTACAGTGAGACTGTCTCAAAAAGATAAAAAAAAAAAAAAAAAAGAAACAAATAAAACAAAAAACAACCCCCCCCAATTCCCCTAGTTGACCCCAAACTGTCCTCTAGGGCAGAACTGTTTGCCCACATTATATCAGGCCTTCAGATATACTTTACTCTGTCACAATTTTTTTTTTTGGTAGTACTGGAAATTGAATCCAAATCTTTGTACCAAGCTACATCCCCAGCTCTTGTCCCCACTCCAACTCTTTTTTTTTTTTTTTTTTTTTAATTCTGACACAGGTTCTCACTAAATCACAAAGTTCTCCATGCTGGCCTTGACTCCTCCTGTCTCAGCTTCCTAGAGTGCTGGGATTACAGGTATGTGATACCACACCTGGCTTGCGGTGCTTCTTTTTGTTTGTTTGTTTGGAGCAGGGTCTTGCTGCGTAGTTCAGGCTGGCCTTGAACTCACTGTAATCCTCCTGCCTCAGCCTCCTGAGTGTTGCAACTACAAGTGTGTGCCATTACACCCTGCTCAATGCATTTGTGATTTAGGATATTTTCAGTGTGTGATGGGTTTTTCAGGATGCAGCTCCCTCACCATCAGTTCTGAGGAGCGTCTACGCGGGAAAGTGTGGCTGGGGGCCTGACCCACTTGAGATCAGGGAGACAGGGAGAACACATCCAAACCAGGTGAGACCTGAACATCTCCTTCCTTCCCCAGCACTGAAGCTTTCAGTGATCTTCGGGTGGCCAGGTGCTGCCCTTAGATGGCTCCATGTCACCCTCACAACTATTAAGCTGTGAGTACAGCGTTACCTTGACACCTCCTTTTCTCCACCTACATCCACCAAATGCATGAGACCCCGACTGGCAATCCTGTCTGCATCAGTAATTTCCTCAGGCCGTGGGCAATATTATTTCAACTCTTCTGTCCCCTCTGTCAGTCTTAGCAATTGCTGTCTTCTGCAGTTTTCCCTTGACATCTTGTTCCTCTGAACCGAGGAGTAACCAAGGCAGGAGCACTGAGTGTCTGAAGCAGTTTTGGCAAAATAATAACTTTATTACATACGATCAGTAGTTAGACACATGATACTGATATTCTCTGAAAAAAAGTCAAAATGAAAAAATATTTTTAAATATCGTGCAATTACAGAGGTTCTTGGGGATCAGGGCTTGGCCTCATTTTTCAGAGCAGTCCTTGGGGGCAGATTCATCTCCACATCTTTGTTTCTTTTGTGACCCAGTTATCTTCAGCTTTAAGACAAGGTTCTAGCTAGGACGGCTAGGGAGCCCCAGATGATGGAGCTCGTTACGTAGGGTAGCTAGAACTTGGTAGCTGTAAGGATGAGATCTAAGTTTAGAGGTGAGTGGAGACTTCCCTGAAGGGACCAGGAAAGTTCCTGAAGCAGAAACTGGTGGAGACAAGGCCAACTGAGGGGTTAGGGCAGAGAGGCTTGGGTTGAACGGAGGGAGGAGAGGGTAAGACTCCTTCTCCAGGACCAGCATGTCCCACTCACACCGAGGAGTGGGTGGAATCTTGGCTAAGTGGAGCACTGCCCCCCAGTAAAGCAGCAGCAGCAGCGGTAGCAGCAGGTAGATCCAATGGAAGCCCCTTCCTTCAGTAGTTTCCAGAGCCCGAACACTGTTCCCAGTGTGCCAGTGAGGCATAAACACTTGGTCAGTGAGGGGTCCCAGCCAATGGCTCCAGCTCCGAGAAGGCACAGTCAGGCTGGCTTGCAAGAAGAGTGCCCCTGACTAGGGCTGGCTGACTTGCACAATCACACTAGAATTGGTCACTCGGGCTCCATAGTGGCCAGCCCAGAACTGTGTGTCCTGGCCCCAGTGTTCAAAAGACACAAAACGGACACCCATCTTGATGTTGGAGAAGACGTGGGTGACCTGTAGGTAGAAGAAGGGGTCGTCCCTGTAGTACCACAGTCCTCCCTTCCACATCTGAGAAGGGGCTTAGGGAAGATGGCATTTTCCAAAGATGGCAGCCATGTCACCTGCATTGCATGTGTTCTAGAACCTTCCTGCTTCCTCATTAAGAGGGGGGGTCTCATTCCCCTCCTCTTGAATGTGAGTGGGTGTGCTTATCACCAAGAATGTGGTAGAAGTGAGTAGCTTTTGCCAAGTGACTTCCAAGGTAAGGTTAGAAAAGGCAATGAAGCTTTTATGCCACCACACAAGCAGGCTGACTGTCCTGAGGACACCATTCTGTGAGAAAATCACCTGGCCCAAGTCCAGGGGTCCCACGGAAGAGCTTTGAGACTAAATAGAGACACAGGTATTTGACCAGCTGCTCGAGGCTACCCTACACACTATCCTGCATTTCCACTCCAGCCATCACCTGAATGCCACTGTGTGAACACAAAGAGACAAGCCAGACTGCTTGGCCAGGACCTTTCTACCCATTGGTAGACATGCGAGCTATTCAAATCAATGCAGGTGGTGTTTATTCCCCCAGTACTGGCATTCAACCCAGAGGTGTTCTACCTGTGAGCATCACTTCTCTCATCTTATTTATTTTTCATTTTGAGACCAGGTCTCACTAAGTGGCCTAGGCTTGCCTCAAACTTGCAATCCTCCTGCCTCAGCCTCTTAAGTAGCTGGAATTGCATCCATCACACTTGGCTACTGACTTGAAGCCACTAAGTCTTGGGATGACTTGTTATACAGCAAGAGCTATCATCCAGGCCCCTCCCACCACTGCCCTCTCCTCAGAGACTCACCTGAAAGCAGACATTGTTGTTCCATTGTTCAATGGGATCAGGCACAGCAGAGAATTTATCTAGGACAGTCTGGCCGGCATCTAGAAGTTGGACAAGCAGTCGATACCTACAGCCACTGTCATGTCGGGCTCCCCACCTGTGGGAGGAATGAGACCTTGCAGGCTGGACTTGCCACTTTGGGTGTCTGCCTGTCCCCCTCCCCTTCATAAGAGATCAGGCTTTGAGAGTTCCACCAACGTGCCATCCATGACAGAAGTGAGGATAGCCTTGGGGACCATGTCTCTGACCCTATAGTTGGCTCTCAATTTTTCACAGACATTGACACTTGGCTTTCATCTTCAGACACTCAGATTTAAGGAGGATGCAGTGTGGCCTGGGCATCAGGAGTTTGAAAACTCCATGGGAGATATCTATAAGAATTTAGGGTTCTTATAAGTAAATGGTCCTGGGCTGGGGATTTAGCTCAGCGGCATAAGCACCTGCCTTGCAAGCAGGAGGTTGTGAGTTCAGTCCCCGGTACTGATAAAAAGAATAAACAGAAAAAAAAAAATAAGTAAATGGCCCACCACTTACCAGAAGAGCACAGATATGCCATACAGTCTGATGGTCTCAATTAAACTAAGGAGTTTTATTGGAAATGCATCTCTTAGGATGGGGAAGGCTTTATGATGTCTTAAGAGTGAATTTGTTGTGGCTGAAAATCAAATTGGATCCCCTTTAGTTTTACATTGGGGGAACAATATACCATGATGCAGGTCTTTTTCCCCATGAGCTGAAAAAGGGGGACCAGAGAAAGAGATGAGAAAGGAGAACCATGGTACTTCTACCACAGATGAGATCCACAGCAGATTAATTTCAGCATAGGGCGCATATAGTTGTAGAGGATCTTGGATTTAGCGCCCTTAAAATTAGTTCCCATGCCCCTGGAGAGTCCTTATGTACCTCCATTTAAGGACTCTGGAGCCAAAAAAAGCCCCACTACGTGCTGCTGAGGTCCTGCCCTGGCTATGTGATCAGGGCAAGTCACCTCTTCTCTTTGGATCTGTTTCCTATAAACTTCTGAATAAATTTAGAGTTTGGACTCTATCCTTCCACATGATCAAGGTTAAAAAAGGGTCATTTCACTTACAAAGCACTTGGTTTGCTTAAGGCTCTTAAACTGCAGATTTAAGGGTTGCACCTGGAGTGTCTAGCTCCAGAATTCAAGACCTGTTTGCATTATGTGTTTTGTCTCCTGCTAGGCAAGGGACATCTCATTCAGACAGACCGAGGTGTGTCCAAGACCTCCATAATGGATCCAATCTGCTGTCTGCCTCCCCCACCCCATACCCTTTTGAAATGATAAAAGGGGTTCAAGGTACCTCTCTGCTAAGTACTAGTATTGTAATCCTGGTTAGGTCCCCTCATCTTCCTGACCTTCTATAAGGGGTTGTTAGGAAGCCTAAATTAGGTGATCCTTGCGAAGTTCATTGTACATGCAGTCACATACTTACCAGTCTGAGACATGGATTTCAATCTTGCCACTGTCCAGCAGTTCTGGCCATAGGCCCTCCTCCTCCAGATCCAAGACCTGCTTCTTCCGACACCAACTAGGAAGGTGGGAGAAGGGTAATGAGAACAAGCAGGTCTTTCAACAACAGACCTGGCCCTTGGGGAGCAGAGGCTTTCACCTGAAGGAGGCTACAAAGCAGGTCTGCGAAGGGGCCCCAGGCACGGTTGTCATGTTGTTTTCCACCACCCAGCCATCTCCACCGTGCTGCACCATCCACTTCCGAAGGCCTTCTGTCAAACAAGACTTGTGTTCAAGATCCAGTAGCACACCTGGGCTCCAGTGCAGCTCGGCCCCGCCCCTCCACTCTCTGATTGGCTCCGCTCCTCGGCCTTATTTGACTCTGCCCCTCTAGCCACGCCCCACTTCCTCCACCTTCTCCCTTGCGGCCCAGCTCACTCACCTCCCACCAGCTCCCCGATTGGACCCTACCCATGTTGGCTCCGCCCCCCAGCTCTGGTGACCCCCGCCTCTCACCGATCCCGCATGGCCCTGCCTCCCCGGCTCCTCTCCTGATCCCGCCTTCACCGACTGCGGGTCCCCGAGCGGAGCAGCTCCCGGTGGGGTCCCGCCCATCTGACCCCACCCGGCCTCCACACCCTGTCCGCAGGGGTTGCAGATGAGGTTTCGTCCAATGGGTCTGCGCTCGCAGAAGCGGCCGAGAGGGCAGGGCTTGGTGTCGCCGGCGGGGGGCAGGCAACTGCGGACGAGCGACAGCAGGGCGCGGCCGGTGGCGCTGTGGTCCTGGGCCAAGATCAGCAGCCACAGGGCCTGGCCGTCCACCAGGGCCCGCCAGCCACGGCACACGAGACGGCAGCGTCGGAGCAGCACGCGCGGGGGCACGTGGCTCAGCACAGTCAGGAGGAGCTCGGGCGGCAGCCGGCTCAGATCCAGCCCCTCTGCGGGCTGCGACTGCGGCGCGGGAACCCGGGCGGCCCGGCCCTTGGAGGCCGAGGCGCCCATGGTCCTCCGGCCAGGCCCAGCTGCGGCGTGGCTGCGACTGCGGCAGCGGCTACGGGGGTTGGGGGGGCAGGCGTCAGGGCCCGGCAGCCTCCGCGCGCCTCCCGTGCCCCGCCCGCCGGACCCCGGAGCCGGCTGCCGCCCCCTCCCCTCCGCACCCCCGGCCTGGCCAGTCCCTGATCTGTCCCCGCGATCAGCCCCTCCTTCTAACTCCGGCGCCGTGGCCCTGGCCCCTGGCCGTTCGGCGTCCCGCCCCGATCCCCGATCACCTGCAGTCTCCCCGCGCACCCTGCTGGGACCTCTTCACCCGCTGGCCCCGCTGGCCCCTCTTCCTCCTCCTCCTCCTCTTCCTCCTCCCCCTCTTCCTCCTCCTCCTCCTCCTCTGCGCCGTTGCCTCTGCGGCTCAGCTCCTTCCCTCCTGTCTGGTCCCTTCCGTCTCTCCAGACCCCACCTCCTTCCCGCCGCAGACAGGGATAAAACCTCCTTGCCTCTTGGTCTCTGCTGGCCCAGGACACTTTGGGCGAGCACTTTGGTCTCGCTGTGAAGCACCTGGCGCTGAGCAATCACCACTCCCATCCATCGGAGGCCTTGTCTAGGAAACTAAGTGGAAATACTCCTATCACCTCTTAAGCCCGGGGAGCAGCCTCATTTCGGAGGCCCTGTCCCTTCCCCACTTTACAGACCAGAAAATCCAGATGGCAGAGGCCAACTGACTTGCTTATGGTTATACAACTGATAGATGGAAGAACTGGGATTTGAACTCAGCCATTCTAACACTAGAATCCTCAATTTTAAACTATCAGCTCTGCCTGATAAAAATATATATTGGGCCAGAGATTTAGCTTGGTGGCATAAATGCCTGCCTGGCAAGTGCGTGGTCATGAGTTTGATTCCCTGGTTCAAAAAAATTTTTAATATGAATTTAAATATAATATAAAATTAAAAATAATATATCATTTTAAAGACCCACCAACAAGCCAGGCGTGGTCGAACATGTCTGTAATCACAGCCCTGGGGAGGCTGAGGCAGGAGGATCGTTGCAAGTTCGAGACTAGCCTGACCTACAAAGTGAATTTAAGGCCAGTCTTCACTGCATAGTGAGACCCGTCTCAAAAAGACATAAATAAATTAAATATCTACCAGTAGACCATGACAGATTCTTGTCCACTAGGAACTTGGCCTCTGTGCAGAGAGATGTGATAAACAGTAGGCAAAACCAAACTGTTTAATGTCACAAAAACAATTAAAAATAGAACTTTTTGCAGAGTGCAGTGGCCCATGCTGGTAACCCCACACTATGGGAAGCTAAGGCAGGAGGATGTCAAATTTAAACCCAGCCTGGGTGTTATGGATTAAAAACTGGTGGTCAAACTTAACACCAGCTGAATTAAATAAGCATGGTGCTGAGCATAGATGTTCCACCTGAGGCAAGTTGCCAGCACAAAAAGAGACATGGAGAAAGAGAAGAGAGGCGTGGGTTCTCCTATGAGTTGCTGTTTGAGCCATTCGTTCACCTGGAGGAGCTCGTCATGACTAGCTTTCCCAGTGGAGTTTGACCATTGTCATTGGAGGAGCTCTGGACCTTGTTGTTGAGAGTGGCTGTGGTTCACTTTGGGGGAGCCCTGGTCCTTACATCAAGCATCACTTCCTGGCTCCAGAGGGGAAGATGTGTACTGTTTAATCTCCAGGAGAAACTCATCATGCAGGCTTCCTGGCATGTACTCAGTTGTGCTTATCGTCCGAAGAGCTCAGGGCCTCCATGTCACTGAGGATGGCTGTGGTGCTTTTCAGGACAGTCCTGATCTTTGTTTTGAGTGTGATTTCTGGGCTCTCCTGTAGAACCCTCAACCTACCAGCACAGCTCCTTCACCCAGCTGGCATAGACTTTCTAGCTTCCATTGCTGACCTTTGGGCCTTCTTAGCATAGATCAGTAAAAGAGACTGGCGTGAGTCCTTCTCATTGGCTCTAGACCTCCAGTTGGACTTGGGGGAGGCATTGTCGTAGGCTCTAGGCCTTCATCTGGACTCATGTAGGACATTGCTGTGGGATTCAGGTCCTTGGCTGAGTATTCTATGTCTTTAGTGTTGTGGACAGATTTCCTGCACTTTCTTAAGTTAACTCTGGGTGACCATCATAAAATAAAATTATAAATCCCATGTCCTAATTCTAATTGTTCTCCTCATAACCCCTGACTACAACACCGGGCAACCTAGCAATTATATCTAAATTATATCTATATCTATATTTAGGATATCTACCTAAATAAATAAATAAATTTAAAAGCCTGGGGCTGTAGAGCTGGGGGTATAGCTCAGCACACAGTCCCTGCTTGACAAGTGAAGACCCTGGGTTTGATCCTCAGTACTGCAATCAATCAATCAATCAATCAATCAATCATCTTGCTCCCTCCACTCCTCTCCACAAGTGTGGAAAAGAATGAAATAGTTTTACTAGAGAATAAGCATTAGAACACACTGTAAAGTACATGAACCATGATGAATAGGGCTCAATGTAAATGAATTACATGGAATGTTAGAAAGTTATCAAAGTTACAAAACACAACAAGGGAGAGGAATGGAACTATCATAGACAGTTACAATAAAAAGAATTTAATTGGTAGTCTGAGAGGCATTGGGCCTTCTAGGAAGGTAGAGACACACAAAGAATGTGGCTGGAGGTGACTCTGAAGACAGCCAGGCCTCCAGGTGGAGACCCAATGGCCAGGCCTGTGGGGCTCCCTGGAGATTAACTGCAGCTGAGACTGTACTGTGGTTAGTACTGCCCAGTCCAGTGGGGCCAGAGAGGCATCAGACATGTGGTGGGGGAATTCCTTCATTCTTTTTAGTTGGACGTTACAGATAGGCTGAGGTTAATAATGTTCCCTGGTGTATCATTGCTACGTGCCTTGATTCCCTACTGGGTCAATACTGGCTAAGTATCTGTACTTGTGATCCTACAGGTTGACTGTAGTTTGACCCTCAGCTAGACAGCCTGTGACTTTGCTATATAAAATACCCTTAAACTGGGTGATGCATGTCTGTAATCCCAACACTCAGGAGGCTGAGGCAGGAGGATCGTTGCAAGATCGAGACCAGCCTGGGCTACAAAGTGCGCTCGAGGCCAGCCTGAACTGCATAGCGAGACCCTGTCTCAAAAAGAGGCCAAAAAGTAACTAACTAAATAACTAAATAAAAGACCCTTGACCAGGAGGCTCTCTGAAACTCCCTTTCCACTCCCCTAACCCCCCACTCCCACCCCCTACTCCCGATTCTGTCAAGAGCTTTTTCTCAACAAACCTTTCCTGCTCTTCACTTTTTTGTCCTTGAGTCGACGCTTCGGTGTTGGGCGGCATGAACACTGCACGGCTGACAGTGAACAGGCGGGAGTCAGGTGTCTATGAGGAGGCTGTAGAGCTGGTGGGTGGAGAGCAGAGGGAGGCTCTGACTTCCGGCAGGCGGGCTGACTCACCCAGTGACCTCCTTTCTTCTGAATATGTTCTTAATAAACAGTTACGACTGAGATTTTCTGATACACAGCCGAGAAGCGATTGGAGGAACAATTGCTCAGTTACCTCCTGGCTAATCTGGCTTCCTTTCAGCTTTCATCTACCTGCTCCTACTGGAATTTATTTATTTACTTATTTATTGAGACAGGATCTTGGTCTGTAATTCAGGCTGATCCTGAACTCACTATGTAACCCAGGCTGGCCTCAAAATTATAGCAATCCTCCTGCCTCAGCCTCCCCTGTGCTAGGATTATAGGCATGTACCACCACACCCAACTGTGTTTTAAAAATTTTATTGGTACATTTTAGATATGCCTCATGATAACATAAATCATAATTTGTACCTGTCCAGGATGTGTCTTCTTTTTTCCTCTTGTTCTCCTCTCCCCTCAACCCCTTTCCTTTTTTATTCGTGAAAGCTTTTGTTTTGTGTTTCCTTCTATTCTTTTTTTCATCTCTTTTTTCCTTTCCCCCTCTCCCTTCCCTTGCTCCCTGTCTCATTTAAACATTTTCTTCCCATTTCCCAACATCTATTACACACCAGCAAAATAATGTCGTATATAAACATGTGTGTCCAACTGATTTCACTTAAGTCTACTAAATGATTTTTGTCTTTCTTTTCTTTTTTTGAGACAGAGTCTTGTTATGCAATTCAGGCTGGCTTTGAGCTCACTTTGTAGGTCTTGAACTCAAAACGATCCTCCTGCCTCCCTGGTGCTGGGATTACAGGGATGTACCACTGTGCCCAGCTACTAAATTATTTTAAAGTATGCTCAGATACTGCACTTTTCTGTCCATAACAATATAGTAATTTTGGCTGGGGATTTAGGTCAGTGGCATAAGCACCTGCCTGGCAAGCATGAAGTCATGAGTTTGATCTCTGGTACATATATATATATATATATATATATATATATATATATATATATAATTTTTAAAAAATATATTGATTATGATCCTTTTGTCTCCTGATTATTTGGGATTATAGGCATGTGTGTCCGTGCCCAGAACAATATAGTAATTTTTAATGTAATGTGCAAACTGTGGAAATATTTTTGGTAAGTGGATATCATGACTCAAATATATAACTGGGGGGGGTTGAGACAAGGTCTTGCTGTATGGTTCAGACAGAACTTGAACTCACTATATAAACCAGGATGGCCTTAAAGTCAAAGTAATCCTCCTGCCTCTGCCTCCTAAGTCCTGGAATTGTGGATATCAGCCGCAATGCCAAATTTATTTTTTATTTATTTATTTATTTATTTTTGGTCTTTTTCCTTTTTATCGGTACCAGGGATCGAACTCACGACTGCCTGCTTGCAAGGCAGGTGCTTATGCCGCTGAGCTAAATCCCCAGCCCAACAATGCCAAATTTAAATATACGACTTTTTAAAATGGTTTAAAGTTGAGCGTGGTGACACACATCTGTGTCCTCAGCACTCAAGAGGCTGAGACAGGAATATTGCCTTGAGTTCCAGATCAGCCTGGGCTACATAATGAGTTCAAGCCCAGCTTGAACTACATAGCAAGACCCTGTCTCAAAAAACAAAAACAAAAAACCAAAAAAGATATTTATTTATTTATTTATTGGTACTCAGAATTAAATTCAGGATCTTGCACTTGCCAGGCAGATATCTATACCACTGAGCTATATCCCTGGCCCCTAAAATGATTTTTAAAAACAATTTGGAAATTCAAGTAGGACAAAATGTCAGGCAATACAAATTTAGTCCCCTTTCCCATTTCCTGACTCTGCTTGCCAGAGGCAAGCCTTGTTAATTCGTGGGATTACACGCCATGCTGTATTCTGAAAAGAGAACACGTGTGAGTGGACTCCAGAAGGGCCCACTGTCACTGGACTGGGTCCAGGGAAGTTCCCCAAGGCAGAGAGGGGAACCCGACTCGCTCCCAGCCACAGGGTGGGTTGTAGTTTCACTGCTATCTGGAAAGCTCAGGTTATTGCATCTTTAACATTTTCTTTTTTTTTTTTTTAATTTTATTTAAGGAGAAAAGAAAAAAAAAAGCAGAGAAAGGGTACAAGTTATACAGATTTGCAGAAAAAAAAATGAACAGTAGGAAATTACTAGTTAATGGATTACATATTGTCATCTTAGAAATAATTGTTCAAGTCACAAAATTAAAGCTTGTAAAGTGGACATTCCATCAATGATACTGCAAACAGTTCTGTACAATGATCCAATAAAACTCTGTGATATCATTTTCTATCTTATACACTTAAATATACATGCAGTTATATCGTTTAGAGCACTTTCTTTTCCTCTCTTTTGTACAATGACTATTACACATTTTGGGTTTCATTGCTCCCACGGTTCTTATTGCTTTTTTGGAAGAGAGTAAAACCAAATGTGACATAACAGAACAGAATCGGTCAAGTCAAAAGGGTGGACATAATAGATAATGTGAAAACATAATACAAGGTGATCAACAATGGTTACCATAATGCCTCCCGCTATCTCTAATAGAATTGCCTATACCATTAGTTATAATACAATTGAACAAAACAGTAAAGAACAAAACCGACAAAACCAAACCATTGGAGACATTGTAGGTCTTCAAAAGTAGATAAAAGTCAACGAGAATGGGCGTTATAATGAATCTCATTATCTTCACAGCTGATGCCTAAATTTTCGAACCTGATACTATCCAGCAAAACAGAATAGGGGAACATCAGTTAAAAACCAGATGGTGAGAGTAATACAGGGCTTTAAATCGAGGTAATGGAAAGTCAAAGTGGGTTACTATAATATATCCTGTT